TCCTCCTCCTCCTCCTCTTCTTCCTCCTCCTCCTCCTCTTCCTCCTCCTCCTCCTCCTCCTCCCCCTCCTCCCCTTCCTCCTCCTCCCTTCATCAGAGAGAGCGCGCCCGTGGTACGCTCCCAGAGGGGGGTCACCCTAAGCTACCCCCCCCTTGAACCTCCACTGCCAGAGGCCCCCCCATCCTTTTTGTTCCGCCCTTCTGGCACTCCCCCCCTCCCTCCCTGCCCAGGGGGGGAGAGGGGAGCAGCTGTCCTCCCCCCTTTGGACCTCCCCTGACGGAGGGCCCCCCCCTTTCGTATTTCCCCCCCCCTTCGGAAGCTACCCCCCCCGCTCCCCCCCTTTCGCGCCCCGGAAGCTGACACCTCCCCCCCCCCTGCTTTCCAAAACGGGAGGGCTTAACTACCCCCCCCTTTGAACTCCCCCTCGCCCCCCCTTTTGGGCTAAATGGAGGAGGGCGCCGAAAACGAAAGAAACGCCGAAAACCGCAAGGACACCGAACACCAACACGGCGCCGAAAACCCAAAGGGCACCGAAAACCAAAGAGGCGCCGAAAGCCAAAGGGGCGCCGAAAACCAAAAGGGCGCCGACAACCAAAAGGGCGCCGACAACCAAAAGGGAGCCCAAATCCAAAGGAGCGCCGAAAACCCAAAGAGCGTCGAAAAGCAAAGGTGCGCCGAAAAAACAGAAAGAGGCGAAAAAAGAACGAACGCCGAAAATCAACAGGGCGTCGAAAACCAAAAATGGCTCCGAAAACCAGCGGAGCGCCGAAAACCAATGAGGCGCCGAAAACCAAAAGAGTGCCGAAAACCAAAGCAGCGCCGAAAACCAAAAGGTCGCCGAAAACTGAAGAGCACCGAAACCCAAAAGGGCGCCCAAAACTTCCACAAGGGCGCGGAACTTGAAAAGGACGCCAGAAACCAAAAGTGCTCCGAAAACTTTATAATCCAAATAATGCCGGAAACCAAAGGAGCGCCGAACACCCAAAAAAGGACACCGAATACCCAAACGGCGCCGAGATTCAAAGAAACGCCGAAAAACCAAAGGGGCGCCGAGAACCAAAGGAGCACCGAACACCGAAAGGGCGCCGAGAACAAATGGAGCACCGAAAACCAAGGGACGCAGAAAACCAGAAAGAACACGAACATCCCCAAAACGCAGAACACATCAAAATACGCCGAAAACAAAAGATGAGCTGGAAACCAACATGATACGGAACGAACCAAAGGAGCGCTGAAAACGAAAGGGGCGCCGAGCACCCAGGGGGCGCCGAAAACCAACGACCCGCCGAAAACCACAAGGGCGCCGAAAAACCAAAGGGGCACCGATAACCAAAAGGGCGCCGAAAACGAAAGGGGCGCTGAAAACAACAGAAGCTCGAAAGATGGACGAAGTGCCGAAAACAAAAAGGGCGCCGAAAACCAAAGGGGCGCCGAAAACCACAGGAGCGCCGAATACTCAAGGGGCTCCGACAACCGAAAGGGTGTCGAAAACCAAAGGGCGCCAAAAACCAAAGGCGCGCAAAAAAACTAATTAAGCCCAAACAAAAGGGGCGCCAAAAACCAAAGAGCGCCGACAACCAAAACGGCGCCGACAACTAAAGGGGCACCGAAAATCAAAAAGGCGACGAAAACCAAGAGGGCGCCGAAAACCAAAGGGCGCCGGAACCCAAAAGAAGTGAGCCGAGAACCAACGATGCGCCGAAAACCAAGGGGTGCACAGAAAACCAAAAGGGAGCCGAAAACCAAAGGAGCGCCGAAACCCACAGGAGCGCCGAAAAGCAAAGGGGCGCCGAGAACCAAAGAAGCGCCGAAGACCAAAGAGGCGCCGAAAACCAAAGGGGCGCCGAAAGCCACAAGTACGCCGCAGACTATGCTGGGGTGACCCGGGGACCCGAAAAGGGGTGGAGGGTGGGTAGCCTCCCGGGCCCCCTCCCTTTTGCTGGGGCCCGCTAATTAAAAAACACACACACAAAAGGGGAAGGTGTGGGGGGGTAGCTTCCAAGCCCCCCCTTCAGCTAGGGCCCCCCCCGCGCTAAAACATGCACACAAAAGAGGGGAGGGGGGGGTACCTTCGAAGTCCCCCTCCCTTTTCCCAGGGAGGGGTGGGGGGGTAGCTTGAAGCTGGGGCCATCCATTCAATGAGAAGTGTGCCACGAGCGCGTTTTTTTATCCTTCCACACCTGCTCCCCGCTGCCGCCCATTCCCCTCGCTCACCATCCCCGCTCTCGGCGATCCTCCTCACTGTTCCTCCTCCTCCTCCTCTGTCCCCTCCCTGCTACTGGGCGCCCCCCGCACTACTCAGCCCCATCTACCTCTTCCTAGACAGTTCTATATCTGTTCTGCGCTCTCTCCCGCGCCCTCCTCCCGTCCGATTCTCGTCGTATGCATCGGCCCGTCTCCTCCGCATCTGCACGCTCCTCCGCACCGCTCTGCCCCATCGCCGCCTCCCATTGTTCCCACCACTTCGCGCCCCTCTCTCTCTTACTCGCTCTCTTCGCGCCTTCGTCTTCCTCCTCCTCCCCCTCCTTCCTCCTCTTCCTCACTCCGACCGCCCCCCCACTTCCCCTGCAACGCTCAATCGCTCCAACGTGGCTGCTACGCTGTCCGATTCCTCCTCGTCGCTCCTCCTCGCTCAAATCCCCTCCTTTGTCTCACCGTGCAAATCTCGTCGCTCGCGCCATCATTGCCGCCTTCGCCCTCCGCTCGCGTTCGCTAAATATTTGCCATCACGTCGCCATCGCCACCACCTGTTCCTCCACCTTCCCCTTGCATTGTTGACCAGCCCCCCGCACGCACGCGCACACACGCACTCGCGTACGCACACACACAAACACAGAAACACACACATACACACAACACACACACAAACACACACACACACAATCGCACACGCACACACACACACTCACGCACACACAACACAACACACACACACACACGTGCGACTACACTCAACCGCACACACGCACTAACGCACAAACATACACACACACGCGCGCACACACACACGCGTTCCATACCACTCGTACGTATCCTCAGCAATGCTATCCATCCCCATCCCCTCATCGCGACTCCTCCCCAGTGTCATCATGCTCGTCCACTTGCTCCTCTCTTCTCTATCCTTACCCTTTCGCTTCTCCGTATTCCTCACTCCTCCCCCCGCCCTCCCCGTCACCCCTACTTGCTCCTTCGCGATCCTTCTCCACCGCCTCTTCGACGTCATTGTCACCATCTTCGCCCTCACTATCGTGAATCTTCGTTGCTATCCCTCCTCCTCGCTGTTCCGCCTCCTGCCTACGCGTCCTCCTCGCTCTTATCCTCCTGCCTCTTGTCCTTCTCTTATGATCCCCACCATTCCTTCTCATGGCCATCAACGACCATCTTCCTCTCTCCCAAACACCTGTTCGATGCCCCGCTTCATCCTCATCGCCGCGTGTCCCCACTCTTCCTCCCTTACCCTCCACCTCTTCTTTTTGCCCCCTACAACTGCTTTCCCCCTGTTCATCCCCACTGTGACCCTACTGTGTCCCCTCCTCAATCCTCCTCATCCTTCTCCTCTTTCTTACTCGTCCTCCTCCTCCACCTTCCCCTGGCCCGTTCCCAATCATCCTCATCGCTGTCTTTTTTCTTCCCGCCCCCGTACAAGACAATTGAAATGCAGCTGCAGCTCTAGCGGCGTTTGCTGCCGTGCAACACAACATAGAGCTGCAGCTCCAACACAGCGGCTGCGCCCTGCAACCTCCTCCTCCTCCTCCTACTCCTCCGCATCCGATACCCCGGTGTGAGCACGTATGCGCACTCGGATACACCCAAACACACTTCAACATGCTGTAGCACACTCTCGACTGCGCTCTAGCCAGCGTTGGCGGATCAGCTCAGCTAAACTTCATACACGCTGCAAGAGCTAAAGCACGTGAATCCATCTAGCTACACCACCTCTCCATCGCTCGGACGTCCATTCCCTGTATTTTTTTCGGTTTCGTGCGTGTTTTTTTCGCCAAATGGTCAAGGATGCTTCTCGATGGTCCTCGCCGAGGAAAAAACGCACACGTCCGAGCGATGCCAGGCCACGTCAGGCCACCCGACGCCGCGCACCTCTCCTTCGAACCCAGCCAGGCCATCCGAGGAGGGGAGGGTGCAGGGCGGGCGGGCGGGGCAGGCGGCCACGGGCACGCGGCGGCGGCCGACCCCGGCAGTGGCGTCGCAGGGCCGGCGGGCGCGGCCCGCGGGGCTCGCCTCGGGTGCGCGACGGCGAGGAAGGCGGCCTTGCAGTCGAGCTGCTGCCACGAGGAACCCTACAGAAGGCACGAGGCCCCTTATTTATCCGAAGTTGAACCTTCGACTGCCCACGGAAAGCCGAGGGACCACGGAAAGCCGGGGCTCGTCTCAGGTGCGCCACGGCGAGAATTGCGGCCTTAGAGTCGAACTGCTGCCACGAGGAACCCCAAAGCAGGCACGAGGCCCCTTTTTGTCCAAAGTTGAACCTTCGGTTGCCCACGGGAAAACCGAAGGGCCACCTAGAACAAACACAACACAATCAAGGAACACTGGGCCCCTGCCTCCCCAACGAGAAGGGTTCCTTCTTCAGCGGTCCGACTGTGCGCGAGACGCCACAGCGTGCTCACGCAGCGGCTTGCGCAGGCCGCCCGCGCGGAGCGGCACATGGAAAACGAGCGCGCTGCCGGTGGCAGCTCGCGCGCGCGTGCCCGCGGAAGCGAGCCCATTTGTTCTGCGCCGCCCAGGCTTGGCGGCGAGCGAGGGGGGGGCGGGGAAGCGAGAAGGAGAAGGGCCTTCCCAGAGGGCGGCGGGGCCTCTCAGAAGCCCTCCGACCTATGGAGAGCATTTTTGTCTGTCTCTGGGGGAAAGCTCAGAAGACCACTCCTAGGGCCGGGGGACGTCCGAGACTTCTGAGGAGGCCCGCCCCTGCTCACTTCCCCCCCCCCCCCGCGCGCGCCGCCGACAGGGGGGCGGCGCGGGGCCGCTCGCGCGCGAGCGCGAGCTCACACGACGACCCGCGGGGGGGCGGGCTGCACCATGGCCACGCCACTGGGGGGCGCCGCGCCTTCCTGAGCGGGGGGCGCTGCAGGACATGCAGAAGCCGACTGTTGTGGATGCCACGACAATGGACACCCCAGCAGTCCAATCTCTGAATTTAAAATGTGTTTTCAATGTCGGAACAATGTTCTGGACATGCTTGGAACATGTGATCGACATGTTTACAACATGTTTAGCACATGTTTGAGACATCTGGGAATCATTTGGCAGCGTGCTTCCTCTCCATTGATCGTCCTCCTTCAGCCTACTGGCCATCGCTCGGACGCCCATTGCCCTTGCACTTTATCATCGGTTTCGTGCGTGTTGCTGTTCTCTTTGGCTCGATGACACCAGATGCTCCAAGATGGTTCAGGTGCTCCAGCACTGGTCCCGTCGAGGACAAAAAAAAGGCGCACGTCCGAGCGATGCCAAAGAAATGGGTCCTGCTGGGTGGCGTGTGCCCGACCAGATCATGCAGTACAGCCGCCTTCTCAGTAGAGTGTTGCCCCAACAGTATGACCAGAAGACGCACGCCACCCAACATACGGTCGGGAACTATTGTTGAGCGTGTCGCGGCGGAGGCCCCAGCGACACGCTATGCCATGTGAGCGGATAGCGTGTCTCTCCGCTCCGCGGGGCCCCAAACTCGGAAAGGCTCGGGGAAGATGGCGTGTCGTGCTGCAGAGTGGTGGCCCGGAACTGCCAGAGCGTCGCGCTATCCAACAAAAACCACCTTATGCTATAAGATTTCAGGGCGCACGCATCGCCCTTTTGGGGGCGACCCCACGCACAGCACAAGTATGTTTGGGTGCTGCCGATTGGCGCCGCCGATCGATCGATCGTGTATCGGTCGAGGATCGGTCGGTCGGGGGTATCGATGCCCGATTCTTCGGCTTGAAGGCGGGCTGGATTCTGGGTCCTGGGGCGGTCCGAGATGAAAGCAGGATGAAACGCTGCCTCCGGGACAAGGGGTCGAGACCTCTGGGGTCGCCGTCTTCGTCGCCGTCGCCGGCGGCGCCGTCGCCGTCGCAGCCGTCGCCGTCGTCGCCGTCCGCGACGGTCCTCGAACAGATCGTCTCCCTGTCGGGGCGAGGGCTCCTCGTCGGCCATGTCCACTATGATGGCCTAGGATGGGGGAGGGGGGAGGAGGGAGACTCAGACCTCCTGCGGATGGACGCCTGCTTCAGTCGCGGCGTACTTGCAAATCCTGTCGGCTTCTGGGGCCCGCTCTCCGGGCCACTGAGGACTGAGCCAAGGAGGACTGTCCCCTCAGGGAGGGCGTCGAGCCCTCTGGGCTTGCGGATTGACAAAACACACAGCGTCGAATACTAGAAAGGAGGAGGAGGAGGAGGAGGAGGAGGAGGAGGAGGAGGAGGAGGAGGGAAAATCCAAGCTCTGCGGTTTTGGACGTCTTGGGGCCTCTCCCGGGGCCAGAGAGGAGAGGCCTACTCGTTACCACGGCTGGATCCACCTGGAAAGCGTGGCCAGAACGCGCTCCAGGATGGAGATGTCGAGGGTCCCCTGGAGGCGGGCCCTTGGAGGAGGATCGGATCGGATCGGAACGACTGGGCCCCAACGTTTCCCAGCAGCGGAGTCAGAAGTCAGTGCGTTGGCTGCCGCCACTGGCTTATAGGAGAGCTCCGTGCACTGACGCGCGCGGCGCGCCAAACGCCCCCAGGCTGCCGAACATAGACCAATGTCGACAACGGAGGAAGGTGGCGGGACGAGGACGCCTCCTTCCGGGCGAGGTGCCCGGGGTCCCTGTAGATCAGCAGCTGGTGCACGCTGCACCCGGGACAGAGCTTCTCGTTGCAGTAGTTCAGCAACACGACTGGCGAGAGCACCGCCATGATCAAGGACGACACGAACATGTCCCGAGCCATGCGGTGCGCCTTGACCCAGAGCTGGAGCGGCATGCCGAAGCATCCGCAGAGGCAGAACCAGTGGGACCGGAGGACGCCCTCCCCGACGCCGAGCAGCAACACCAGCATCATCCACTTCAGGATGAGCCCGGCCAGCAGCGCGTTGTACCTGGGGAGGAAAATAAGGTACCAATACCGCTACTCCCCGGACCTCTCCCAGGGGAGTTCGGGCCAGGAGTTCGAGGAGAATCCAGCAGTGGCGACGAGGGCCCACCAGGCCCAGGGCAGGCTAAAACGAAGGAATGGTAGCATGCACTCCTCTGACATCTGCGGCGCGATCCCCCGATCCCATCAGTCGGGCCGCCTTTAGGTTGCCCGGTGCTCCGCCAGCTTCGGACAACCGCCCATCCTGGATCCCGCCAGGGGGGCGGACGAGAGGCCGCGAGCGACCCGCCGCCAGACGGCCGGCCACGGCTTTCACGAGGACTCTCCAGGACGAGCACGAGCGAGCAGCGGTGTCGGAGGAGGAGGAGGAGGGGGAGGAGGAGGAGGAAGAGGAGGAGGAAGAGGAGGAGGAGGAAGAGGAGGAGGAGGAGGGAGGAGGAGGAGGGGGGAGGAGGAGGAGGAGGAGGGGGAGGAGGAGGAGGAGGAGGAGGAGGAGGAGGAGGAGGAGAGGAGGAGGAGGAGGAGGAGGAGGAGGGTACCAGCCGACCCACCAGACGTCCTGCAGCGCGGCGCCCGCCTCGACGACGTCCAGGAGCACCACGATGCCCGCCGACATCGCCATGGGCACGCCGAGGCAGCACGGCTCCGCCACGGCGGCCTCTCGGCGCGCGGACCCCTCCCGCGGGCGCACACGCACCAGTTGTTCGAGCTCCGCCGCGCCGTGGCGCGAGCTCCCCCCGCAAGGCCAACTTCTTGCCGCCGTCTCTGCTCGCCCTCCTCTTGACTACCTACCAGACCACCCCAACCCAACCCGAAGACCCGAATTTGACCAGACTTTCGGGTTGGGGGGGGTACGGGTTCCATGTCAACGTTCCCCGACCCCCCCCACTGGAAATGGAGGGCAAATTGAGGCCTTCGGGTTGAGTTGGGGTGGTTTGGTGGGTGGTGACCTCTGACTCTGGGCCCGACGTGCAGCAGCTCATACCCAGTGGAAGCTCACGCCCGGAGCCCCAGTAGGACCCTGCCTTTCTGCTGCATCCTTCGAGCCGCACCGGTCTGTGAAGGCCCCGGGGCACGACATCTGCCGGAAACGCCCGGTGCGAAGAACGTGTGCGAACCATAGAAGAGCAGCAGCCAGGGCAAACGCGCAATTTCTTGGAGCTCCGCGCGAATTTCTTGGATCGGCGCTGGGCCCTCCTCCCCAGGCGCGCGGAGCGCGCCAGGGGCGGCGCTGCAGGCCACGCCAGGGGGCGCCCCGGCGCAGATCTCAGAGACCCGCGTGGCGGGCACAGAGGGGTGAGGAGGAGGAGGAGGCGGAGGAGGAGGAGGAGGCGGAGGAGGAGGAGGAGGAGGAGGAGGAGGAGGAGGAGGAGGAGGAGGAGGAGGGGGAGGAGGAGGAGGAGGAGGAGGAGGAAGAGGAGGAAGAAAAGGAGGAGGAGGAGGAGGAGGAGGAGGAGGAGGAGGAGGAGGAGGAGGAGGAGGAGGCGGAGGCGGCGGAGGCGGCGGTGAAAAGGAGCAGGCCCTCTCGGCGGCGGCGCGGCTTCTCCGAAGCCCTGGCGCCTCCCGAGGGGCGCCTCCGAGCTCGGAAGACTTGCGACGCCAGGACCCCAGGGTTCTCCTCCTCTGGAAGTTTAGGGGCCCCACAGGGGACGTAATTACGTGCCCACCCACGCACATGAACAATGGCTCCCCTGTCCGCGAGACCAGCCGCGTGACACGAGGGTTCGCGCAACGCGTACTCTCGGAACCGACGTGGACTGATGTACGTGTACGCCCCTCTTTCGCTCCTGAGAGTTCTCTGCTCTCCGAGATGGTCCAGGATGCTTTGAGTAGGGCTTGATGCACCACACCTGGCGTCGAACCAACACTTTTTTACATAAGCGAACGGTTGGACTCACCACTTCTTCGTCGGCCTAACTGGCAAGGCGTTCGACCACCTCGACGCCCCTTTCTTGGTGGCCCTGCAGCGGAAGGCGCTCTCTGACCCTCGGTCCTACTCAAAGGATGCTCCTCGATGGCCCGTGCCGGGGAAGAAAAATAGGGAACCGAACTCTATACACCGACGCGATTTCCGGCCCTGCCTTGGCATTTGCACTGGAGAGCGGATCCTGGTGTATATACGGGACCCTGGTGTATACATGTTCCGTTGCTTTCCCGGGGACATCGGGGAAACAAGTATGAAGCCACACCACCCCAGCGTCGGCCCCGACCCTCAAAAAAGTCCGAGGACTGAGACACAGCCCGCCACAGGTGATGTATACGTTCCAGCTTCCGACACAAGATGCACACGTCCGAGAGCGATGCCACAGGGCGAGGCGGGGGCACAGCGGCCGCCCCCCCGGCCCCTGGCACTTCTTGCAGCTCCCGCCGGCCCGCGGGACCTCCGCCCCGCGGAGGGGGGGGGAGCGCAGGGAGCGCGGCGCTGGAGCGAGGGGAAGGCAGGGCAGCCACCCGCCTAGTCTTAGGTCGGGCAGGGCTGGACCTAAACCGTGCTTTTCGTGTTCGTTCTGCTTTCGTGTTCCCTCGCTTTTTGTCTTCAATGCACCTCTGCCGCAAAGCGAAGTCGCAACGAAACCGGCCCACGAAGTCGCCAGAACACCGTATCGGTCCAGCCCTGAGGTCGGGCATATGTCCTCCCGCGGGCGGGTTCTGGAAGAGGGAAGTGAGAGATGGGCACACGGTAACCAACAATCGTCGAACACAAAAAACGGTAGAACCATCTTCCCCTGACGATTCTGTTTGACTATCTCTGAACAGTCCTCCTGCAGAGGGACATGCACGACTTACCGACCAGCCAGAACTGGGGGAGCTGTGGTCCTTACCCCCCTAGGGGAACCCATCGCACCGACGATCTCTCGAGAGGGGTGTCGAAGTCGATGGGTCCCCCAGGGGGGTAAGGACCACAGCTCCCCCAGTTCTGGCTGGCCCGACTTGACCCTCGTCGAGCCAGCGACGCCGCGTCTCTGCCCTTCGAGGCTCGCGCTCCACGGGGCGGGCCTCGGAGGCGCCGTCGCCGCGCGTCAGGTGGGACCTCTGCCTCTCGGGCACGGCGCGGTCCTCGTTGCGGGCGTGCGCCTCGACCTCGGGGTTGTCCTCGTCCTCGGGCGGCCGGCGCAGCATGGGACGGGCGATGACATGGGGGGCTGCTGCTCCTCCTCCTCCTCCTCTCTTCCTCCTCCTCCTCCTCCTGCTCCTCCTCCTCCTCCTCCTCCTGCTGCTCCCCCTCCTCCTCCTCCTCCTCCTCCTCCTCCTCCTCCTCTCCTCCTCCTCCATCTCCCCTCCTTATCCTCCTCCTCCTCCTCCTCCTCCTCCTCCTCCTCTTCTTTCTCGTCCTCCTCCTCCTCCTCCGCCGCCTCCGCCGCCTCCGCCGCCGCCGCCTTCTCCCCCTCCTCCTTCTCCTCCTCCTCCTCCTCCTTCTCCTCCTCCGGCGCAACACGCCACCCGTAACGTATTGATACGGAGCTCAACACGCAGACTGAACACGCAGATCTGACGCGTTGCGTTCGCCAAAGCGTGGAGACGTTGAGCCAACACGCAGCGTGTTGACACGGACGCTTTGATCACGGCACGTCCTGCGTCCCAAAACGGGACACGCGCGTGCCGCGGCAGCGGAGCTAGCAGGGGTGGGGTGGTGGGGGCGAAGGGACGTACGTGCACCCTCCGTGCCCTTTTGGGGGCCCCAGGGGGGCCCCTTTTGGCCCGCAGGGTGCCACTTCCTTCGCCCCCCCCCCGCCCCCCTCGTGTTCCGCCCCTCCCCCCCCCACTACGCAGCGCCCGACGTCCTCGTCCTCCGACTCGCCCGGGGCGCCCCCGAGCATGGCGTCCTGCCCCTCCGCCTCGGGGCCCCCCGCGCCGCGCACCGGGGACGCTTTTTTTGTGGAGGGGCCAGGACCATGAGGCCTCCTCCAGATCTCGCCATCGCTCGGACGTCCATTCCCTGTGCTTTTGTTCGGTTGCGTGCGCTGCTCTTTCGCCAGATGATCTAGGATGCTCCTCGATGGTGCTTGCCGAGGGAAAAATACACACGCCCGAGCGATGCCAAGAGATGGGGCCCAGGTGGAGGGGGTCGGAGGATCGCGCCTCGTCGCCAGTGCATCGCCGAGGCATCGGCGGTGCCTCCGCGCCATCGGCGTGGAGAGGCTCTGGCTCCACGTCGAGCCGCACCGTCGATGCCTCGTCGATGCGGAGCGATCCTTCGACCCCATCTGCTCGGACCTCAGTTGGGAGGCCCAGAAGGACACACGATTAATCAACATAGAATCAAGAAATCAGACCGGATCGGAACGTACATCGAATCGGGCCGCACCGGCAGGTGCTCGAACTCGAATCGTCGGCCGCGCCAGGATGCACAAGAGCGCCATGTAAGCAACGGGCCGCATCGGATCGTCGGAATTATCGGAATCGAATCAGACTGGGTCGGCAAGAGTCGATATCGAATCAGAGCGATCGGATCGAAACAAACCCCGCCTACTGGCCCCTCAAAAGGGGACAGCTTGATGAGCCAGGACATCGGCACGCCCAACAGAATTGCAGCAGCAGAGGGCGAAACGTTGCCCAGTCTGCGTGCTCTCCCGATGGATTTGGCGACGTCTTGGGTTGCAGAACCCAAATTTCCAGGGAGCGGCGACTGGGAGGTCGCGGCTTGCGGGGGACGTGGGAACCCAATGCAACCGATTCTTTTTCCGCCGAAGTGTCTGGTCTCCAGCTGGCACTTGCTGTGTTCGCTGCCCTGCAGGGGACAGGCGGTCTTTCTCAGCTCAGAATCCCGATTTTCAGGCGTAATGTGTGCTGCAGGTATCTGCATTGAGTGAGGCTCCATCGGCAGGGACTGAAGAGATGCGCGGGGAGGCGGCCTTTGCGGTCAAGCCGAGTCCAAATAGTGGGGGAACGCCAATGTAAAGGGGCGGCTGGCTCAGGGGGGGGGGGGAAACCATCGAGCCGGAATCGGCGATAGATATCGCCGATAGACCGGCGAGGTAAGCTCCCGATCGCGACACTACACGCTCCTGGGCGGAGTGGGGCACCATCGGGCCCCTAACTCGGTGAGGAGTGGGCGATTGGGGATCGAGGCGCCCCCCCTGAGACAACGGCAACTCAACATCGGTCCCCAGACCCCATCTTGGAGCCCAAAAACACACCAGTTTCCCGAGCTGCATCGAGCCGTGTCAACGAGGGAGCCCCCCGAAGTCCAACGCATCACCGCTGTCACAACTCACCCTCCTCTGACTCCGGGCCAGACGTGACAAAAATAAACCATAATGGACAATCAGTACCAGCTCCGTAGATTCCAACTTTCTGTGCAACTCCCGAACAAGATCGATCTGTGATAACCCCAGGGCACGACATAGGCCGAAAGCGCCCAGTTTGAACAACAAAAGCGTACGCAAAGTATAGAGGAACAATACACGGCATACACACAGCGGACTCCTTTGAAAATGCTTCCCTCTCTAGCAGTTCTGAAATATGTAACGATTTCCCCTAGCTTTTGGGAATGGATTCCTCCACAGAGTTCATGTTTTTTTGCTCCAGGGTTGATCGGACACGTGATTTCTTGGATTAGGTCGGGCATGTCCTCGTACAGGCGGATTCTGGGAGAAAAATGAACCATGGTCAACACATATTCGGACAAAGTGAAACATACTAGGAGAATTACGTGTCGGGCCCAGGGAGGCGATACTCGTTCGACACTGCTTCGGCACTTTTCTGGGTGCTCGAACTTGTTTCTGGGATGGGGTCCTGAAGCACGGTGGGAACAACAGAACTGTAGAAAGACATGCCCGACTTACCTCTTGGGCCTCCGCTTATGTTGCTCCCACCGTACTTGAGGACCCCATCCCAGAAGTAATTTCGAGCACCCAGAAAAGTGCCGAAGCAGTGCCGAACGAGTATCGCCTCCCGGGGCCCGACACGTGAACACCCTCTAGCTTCGATGCTTTCTTGGCGCTCGAAGCTCTTTCTGGTGATCAGGGATAAAGTAGGTTGGAGCATCATAAGCCTCCGCGCGAACCTCTCGTGGATCGGCGCCAGGGGGCCCCCCTCCTCGGCGCTCGAGGCGGCGGCGCTCGAGGAGGCGGCGCTCGAGGAGGCGGCGCCAGAAGACGCCGCCGCCGGGGCGGGGGTGGCTCTGGCGCCGCTCCGAGAGCGAATGGGGGCCCTGGGACACCAAACAAATGGCGGATCTCGGACACCCTGCACCAAACATCGGGACACACATAAAAGTGTGGATTTCGGAAATGTTGCATTGAGAAGCGTTTCCGTCCAAGTCGTGGGGGCATTTTTTTCGATTTCCGCCGTCTTCCGCCGCCCTTCCGCCGCCCGTCCCCGCCGACTTCCGCGGCGGAAGAGGTGGCAACTCCTTCGGTCCTCGAAGGCCACGTCGCTTCTGGAACGCCCCGACTCAGTAGACAAGGCTCCCGGGATTCCCCATACAAGTTCTCACACTTTCTGGACTTTCGTCTCCTCCCCCCCAGGTCCCATATCTTCCAAGACGCTTTCTCGGGAGCGGCAGAGACGGGGGTGTCGAAGAGGGGTGTGTGCAAATCATGACCAGCGGCATGTGCGCGGCCCAGCGGGCGGGCCAGGGACGTAATGAAACAAGAAGAGGCGCCATGAGATCTGGGGAGATATCATGGCCCCCGTCATGATATCCACTCCCCCCTAGTCATCACCCCCCTCTTTTCCACCCCCGACAAGACGCTTTCCTGGGGATCGGCGCTTCATCGTGCCTGCGTGTTTTTTCCCCTCCCGAAAAGGCCTCCGCGCGGGCCTCTGGCCTCCGAGCTCCGCGAGGCACAGCATGAGAACCAACTAATCACGGCAGGCTCGCGCGGCGTCGGCGCACGCATGGGGTTTTGACGCCGCGCCGCTCCCTCCTCCTCCTTCTCCTCCTCCTCCTTCTCCTCCTCCTCCCTCCTCCCTCCTCCCTCCTCCCTCCTCCCTCCTCCCTCCTCCTCCCGCCTCCTCCTCGCTCAACCTTGAGCCGATCGCGGCCCCGATGCCTCAAGGCCGGACTCCGTCGGGTCCAATGTTGGACGCCCGAAATGGACAGGGACAAATTGTACAGTGCCCACACCAACAGCGGCTGCTGTTGGGCAGGCGGCCTTCTGTCTTAACTGGACGCAGGCCGCGGCGGCGCGGACAGCGAGTCTTGCTCAAAATGAACAGGAACTGCTGTTGGGCATTGTACCCATCCTTTCTGTACAAATCTCGTTCGAATGCTGTAAGAAAAATGAGTTATGTTCTAAGAACGACAACACTATGCTCAGATAGCATAAGCCCGATCTGTCATAACAAGGCAGCTTCGGCCAGACATGCTCGAAGAGCACCTCGCGCAGACCACACGTGGTTCTGAAGCGTTCGTCTCTGGTGGGCCCTCCAGGCAAGCCGGGACGCGTCACCACTGGTCGACCCCTCTGGCCAACGCTGCCCCTGGCTGGATGTAAGTCGGGCCTGTCCCCCTACAGGGGGATTTTCGACGAAAAATAAAAAATACCCCACGAAGAATCAAAAGATAATCCAACAATAGTCTGGGAACTATTTTTTGAGTATTGTTTGACCTTCTTGGGGCATTTTTGGGGAATTTTTATATTTTTCGTCGAAAATCTCCCTGTAGGGGGACAGGCCCGACTTGAGGCTGGATTCACTGGTGCCCCAGCCGCCTCCTCGCCCAGCGGGGCCGCGCCCGCCTGGCCCTCCTCCGCGGCCGCGAGCTCGGCGGCGGCGGCCACGGGCGTGCCCAGGGTCGGCAGGCGCCCACGCGTCCGCGCGGAGGCGCCGCGGAGCATCTTGGACGCCGCCGCGCCGCCCCTGCGCCGGTAGCGCCTTCGGCGCAGGACGCCCCGCCAGCCCATCAGCCTCGGGGTCGACCACAACTGACTACCTACCAGACCACTCCAACCCAACCCGAAGACCCGAATTTCGGGTGGGGGGGGTATGGGCTCCAGATGTGTTTTTTCGATGTTCCCGGACCCCCCCCGCACTAGAAATGGACGGCAACTTGAGGCCTTCGGGTTGGGTTGGGGTGGTTTGGTGGGTGGTGAACAACGGGCGTCGTGCGCTTTCGTTTGGGAGCGTTCGAGACAGAAAGAACGCGGTCCGGCCGATGGCCCAGACCAGCGTTGCTGGTCCGGCCGATGATCCCAAACAGCGTTTTTTGGAGCAGGTCCGGGGGCGTGATCGGCCAATGGTAGGCCCCCAAAGGAAGGCAACACGAACACGACTGGCACTGGCACTGGCTCCGCTTGCGTGGCGCCGTGGGGGCGCAGCGGAGGGGGCGCCGAGGCGCCGGCAAATCACAGTACGAGGTGAACATAATGACAAGGAAAATAAAGCGCAGAGGGGAGGAGGACGAGGAGGAGAGGACAGGGGAGGGGGAGGGGCAAGGGGGAAGTCGCTGCGGCAAACCGAACACGAAGATAACGCACCAACCAGTCACCAGACTGGCAAGACAGCACGCTGGTCGGCCCCTGAGCAGCCTCTCGAAGACGACGGCGAGGAGGCAGTAGACGAAGGATGCGCACAGCGGGGGCATGAGCACGGCGATGGTGCGCTCCTGCAGGTTGGACCTCTCGGTGTAGATGGCGCTGAAGGCCTCCACCTTCGAGGGGCAGCGTTACAATCCCCCCCCCTAATGTGGTCAATCCCTGCCTTGAGCTGACCCAGTGAAGGAGGTCGCTGGCGCCTAGGCGGCAGCAACATGCTTGATCAGAGATGTGGACCACGCAGAAGCCGGAGCATCACTCAGAGACGAGCGTGCCGCCAAAGTGCAGGTGCCACTCCCGTTCCGCGCGGGCTGGGCTCAGTGTCACCGAGGTCCGGGCTACGTTGGGTGGGTAGTCCACGTTAGGGAGCGGGTTGTAGGGAGGGGGCAACTTGTAGGGGGGGAGCATCTAGCTGGAGTTCGCGATACACCGCCGATAGATCGGCAACATGCCCCGATAGCGGGCCCCCGTCGGCGAACAATGGGCGACTGAAGGTGCACGCATCCCCCCACCCCTGAGCCTATCCACCCTTAACGTTCCCTATGAACCTTCAGGTTGACAGACTCGAACATCGCCACCAGGAAGAAGAAGGCCAAGAAGAAGTTGAGGTCAACCACCGAGGTGGCACCGCTCTTGGGCTTCAGCTGCGTCCTCTCGTACCAGTCAGCCCAGCGCTTGCCGCTCTCCTCCCAGAAGAAGGCCAGGAGGCACCTGGCATCGTTGTAGAAGTGGCCGGCGTCGAACTGGTACGGATTGAAGACGAAAGGGGCGAAGAGCCACGAGCCGATCGTCAGGCCCAGCGAGAGCCAGATCCACGTCGCGCCGCTGCTGGCGCCGACGCCCGCTACAGCGCCCGAGATGCACACCACAACGGCCCCCGCGAACAGCGTGGCCCCGTCGTAGTAGGAGATCACCGCGTAGTCCAGGAAGAGTCCCCCGACCTTCTTGAGCTTCAGGCCGTTCTCCGCGATCTCACCGATGAACGGCCGCCGCTCCGTGGGCAGTCCACGGCCGGTGCTCACGTAGGTGGCCCCGCCGTAGCGGAGCTCGTTGACAACGTAATGTCCGATGACCTTCGCTTGGAAGATAAACATCAGCGGGGACAAGGTGAACATCGACCTCAGGAATCGGACCACCGCGGTTTTGAGGCTCCTCTCCATCCAGATCTCGGTAAACAGGGGCAGTGAGGTAGCAACTAAGAACAGGAGCAGTAACACTGAGAACCATGTTCCCAAGGCCTTCCCCATGATTGCGGCCGCCGTCTGGTCAGCCGAGCAGTGCATGAAGGCGCTGAAGCTAGACTCGCAGTCTGAAAGCAGCACAAGAAGCCAGACGAACATCAACAGAGGCATGCTCATCGAAACGAAGAACTGCGTGAAATAGTAACCCACGTGCGCGTAGTAGAAAGTCAGCGCCTCTGGGAGGTGCAACACTTGGCCGAGCCTGAAAGTCTGACGGGTGAGGACCTGCTCCCCAGTACCCGAGGAAAGCTTGGAGAAGAAGCCTAGCACCGTGTTGAACCCGAGATCCCGGCCCTTTGCGAGGTGGAAGTACTCGCAGTGACGAATCCTCCTGTCCTCGCCCCTGAGCGTGAAATCCATGCCAGCGAAGATGTCCTCGGAGAGGTTCAGCGTCTTCGTCGCCTTCGAGACGCCGCCTTGCTGTATCATTTGAAGCTTGTTCATGATGTCCGGGTGCCCGTAATGCATGCGGCCGCCGAGCACCGCGTAGGTGCGCTGGAGGATGGTGCCGAACGCCACCTCCGCCGACGCCGCGAAGTCGCCGATGGAGCCGATGTCGCTGGTGATGTGCTCGGGAAAACCGATGATGCTAGAAGAATAGAAATTTCCATAAACATAAAACTTTCGGACCTCCGTGCGGATTTCTTGAATCGACGCTGGCACCTCATCCCTGGCGCGCTGAGCGCGCCAAGGGTGGCGCCGGAGGAGCCGCCAGGGGGTTCCCAGCGCAGATAAAAGAAACCCTCGCGGAGCTCAGAAAATCCATGGTGATGCATATTTTCCTTCTTCGAGATGCGCTTCGAGCCACCGTCGCCGCGTTTGAGCGACCGAAATTCACCCAGGGCGTTCGGCAAGAGCAGCATCTGCTCGAAGTAGGCACCCTGGTTGGCGTCGATGCACTGCGAGAAGGTGCCGCGCATGAAAGGGATGGCATGGTTTTGGTTATCGCCCTTGCCATCTCCCAGGATAGGATATCCTGGCAGCTCCACGCGCATTTTCGGCAGCTTTCGTCCGTCTGCATCTTCCTTGCATCCGCGGTCAATGAGGCAGCTGAAGTAGCGGCGCCTCTGCATGGGGTGCACGAAGTCAGCCTCGCCGAACGCGCCCTTGAGCTCGCAGTCGATGAACGCGACCTTGAGGCAGTCTGGGAACTTCTCGAACATGCGGTTGGTGTGCGCGAGCTGGGTCCTGTCGAAAAACTTGTACATTTGCATGGACACCAGGCATGTGAAGCAGTCGCTGGGGTTCCAGACACCCTGCCGCGCTAACAGACTGGTCTGATCTCGCTGCGCCTCGTAGTGGCACTGCAAGGCCGGAAGGTACAGGCACATGCCAGCAACGGTGCGCCACAACGTCTGCATACGCATTGAGGACCAGGCGGCCACCTTCTCCTCCTCCTGCTCCTCATCCTGCTGCTGCTGCTTCTCCTCCTCCGTCTCCCCTCCTCCTGATGCTCCTCCTTGCTGCTGCTGCTGCTCCTCCTCCTCTTCTTCTTCCTCCTCCTCCCTTTCCTCCTCCTCCTCCTCCTCCTCCTCCTCCTCCTCCTGCTCCTCCTCCTGCTCCTCCTCCTCCTCCTCCTCCTCTTCCTCCTCCTCTTCCTCCTCCTCCTCCTCATCCCCCCCCTTCCCTAGGAATCGACGCCCAGACCTGTCCTGGGGCGCGCCCTGAGTACGATTTCGAGGCGACTCAAGCCGTGGCGGCGAGGGTAAAGAACAATGTTTGTTTGGGAGGGGTGGGGGTCGGCCTTGCCCCCTATCCCTCCTCCTCCTCCTCCTCCTCCTCCTCCTCCTCCTCCTCCTCCTCCTCTGGGCCACCTTATCCCACTGGGCCTCCGTGTAGTCTTCCCACTGGCTGCCCGCCATTGGCCAGCCGCCCGCCCTGTCGCTGAAGTCCACGGCCATGCGGCTCGTGAAGGCCGAGAACTCCTCGGCGTACTTGCTCTTCACCCAGTCGATGACCGGCACGAAATCGCTGCTGTTCTCCTTGGGGGGCCAGAGAGCAAACATCCGCCACCGTGCCTGGTGCACGCTGGGGCGTGTCGCCACGCCCCCCCCCCTGCTCTCTGGCAAGGCTTCTTTATTGTTTTCTAGGGCCGACCCCATCCCAGGGCAGCACCCGCCCTTGAAACATCGCCCCTCTTTTCAGAGAAACTCTGGTCGAGAGGAGGTAAACACAGGCAAGCACCGCAAACCAAACCATAGCACACATACCGCAAGATAACCAACACGGTTTGGTAACCCTCCAAGACAGTCAAGCTCGCCCCAAGACTGCCAACCGGCCTCCAAGGCGGTCTCGAGACTACCTGGGCAGGCCGCTCCAAGAGGGCCAGAGTACGGCCTCAAAACGGCAGAAGAAGCCCCCAGGACACTTGCCATATCTGGCTTCCGAAAGCCCAGAACGGCCCAAGAGTCCCCAAGAGGGCTCCAAGACAGTCCAACAGGGCCCCAAGAAGCTCCAAAGACGGCCAGGGGTGGCTCAGACGGCCCAAGAGGCCGTCAAGACAGCCCAAGAAGGCCCCAAGACGGGGGACATCGTGCTGGCCTTGATCGCCTTTTCCTGCAGGATTGCCTCCAAGACCTCAACATGCTCCCAAAAGGCCCTGGCAGGGACGCACTCTGAGCGCGGTGCCGTGCTGCGTGTCGACACGGGCGCATCGGGGCAAACCCGCCCGATTCCAGACTCCAGAGGCCTCCAGGCTGGGTTCCGGGCAGATGCGGTCAAAGTTTCCGCCGCATCGGCGATGCATCGGCGACACACCGCCGATGCAGCAGCGATGCATCGGCGACGTAGGCGAAGCATCGGCGCCATCGGCTTGGATAACGTCGGGTTCCACATCGAGACGCATCGACGCTGCATCGGCGATGCGGCGCGATCCTTTGACCCCATCTGCTCCGACCCCATCCAGGAGGCCTAGAGACTCCTCACTGCACCGATCGTGCAGACGTGCTGCAGCGGATTTTTGCATGGATTTCTGTCAATGCAAAACCCCGTCATGGCGAGTGAAGAACGAAATGAATTTCGCGTGGCGTTTTTTAGTCTGCATTCCTGGCCAAAAAGAATCCGCACGAAATTCACCTCGAAATCCGGAACGACATTCTCCAGGACATTCCGGGCCCATCCTATCGTTTTCCGAACGAAATCCGCTCTGCGATGTTGGCGCCATGAGACTCCCGCTCCTGGAACAGCTCCTTCTTCAGCATGAGGATGGACTCCCCGTAGTGGGGGATCAGCACGGTGATGCCCGGGATGTACGGGGCGCGGAAGGGCCTCGGCATGGGCAGGCCCAGGCCGCGGGCCAGGGCGATGATGCGCCACTGGACGTCCTCGTTGATCGGCCAGTGCGGGTCGGGGATGTTAGAAGAACAAAACACGCCATGTGAGCGTTTTCTTATTCGGCGTTTCGACCTTGAGCGAAGAGGGGGGAAGGGGGGGGGTCTGCTCTGGACCTCTGCTTAGTGCGACTGCGACATTGCGTCCTATGACGGGAGACTCCGCCTGCTCGAAACAGGCGCCCCAAACAGCCAAGATCTACTCCATAGGGGAGGGGAGAGGGGGAGGGGTGGGCGAGGGCCCGCGCCGATCGGCAAAACAATGGATAAAAACATGATCACCATAAACATAAAAAACTTTTGGAGGTCCGCGCGGATTCTGTGGATCTGAGCTGGCCCCCTGGCGCGCGGAGCGTGCCAGGGGCGGCGCCGGAGGCGCCGCCGGGGGGGCCCAGCGCGGATCCAAGAAATCCGTGCGGAGCGCCAAAAGTTTATGCTAATGGCGTTTTTTCTTCTTCGAGATGTTGCAGTAGTGCTTGAAGCCCACCTCGAAAGCGCCCTTCTCGCGGAACACGTCGGGCACCTTCACGCGGCTCCTTTTCAGGTCGCGGGCGTCGTCCTGCTCGTCGGCGCGGCGCCGTGGCGCCCCCGCCTGCCGCAGGGGCTGCTGCAGGGATCGCCAGGACACCTGCCTGCCCGAGTCGCCGACCCCAAAACTGAGGTCTCCCATCATCTGGTTGTCGATCTTGTCCTCGTAGCGCATGTACTCCATGACCCTGTCCCAGATCAGGGGGAAGTAGGGCGAGAAGGGGGCGGCCTGCTTGTCCGACTTGAGAGCCGCCTGCGCCTTGGAGTACGAGAGCACCTTCTTGGAGAAGCGCTCCGGGATCTTGGCCACGGCGTCCTCCACGGAAAACTTGGCGGCCTTGCGGACACCCCGCTGGACGAAGGTGATGCCCACGCCGAGGAAGGTGCATCCCAGGGTGAACCAGAGCTGCGTGTCCGAAACAAACAGGAGCAACGTCGTGGCCCACAGGACAATCCAGCGGAGCACCGACGACACCCAGCCCGTCGTCAGGTAGACCTTGGAGATGTCTCTGTAGGACTCGCGCCCTGGCATTACGATCCCGAGGTCCTCGATCGCCTCGAAAATCGTTCTGAATATGATCAGCCCCATGCCCATCTTCACGGCGAGCACCAGAAACCAGAACGTGTACCGCACCGCGCGCCCGCTCAGAGACTGGGTGGTCAGCTTCCAGTTGGCGTAACGCCCCGAGGGCAAGAAGAGCAAGAGCCAGAGCCCGAGCATCGACACGCAATAGTGCACGGCGAGGGCGAGGTTGTGGTACTCGCCGTAGCCCTCCTCGACGAACCCGTCGGAGTCCGTCGCCCTGATGGCCACATACGTCGCCGCAGGAGCTGCGTAAAGTGCAAAGCGGACGACCAGGCGGCCCACGCACAGCACGCCGCGCCGTCGCTTGCGCACCGCACGGCCCGTCACCTTGCGGAGACAGCAAGGGACCATAACCACATCGAGGACATACAGGGCAGTTTTTAATACATAGGATTTCTAATATATAGGAATTCTAATACATGGTTAAATTATGAATGAATTAATGCATACACTCATCCTTGTATTTATGAATCAACCCTTTATTTTTAATACATGGTCCGCACGCGGAGCATGTAGTAAAAACGGCACTGTACCCTGGGGGATGTCCTGCGCACGCCAACAGTCGCCAGAGCACCGAAGCCAGCCTGGTGCAGGCTGTGGTCGATATGGTGTCCCAGGATGGCCAGATCGACCCCGCCCACGACCAGAGCGTTCATATCGAGACCGGTGGGTTCTTCCCCGAGGTGCCCTCCCAAACAATCCACCCAGCTGCTGTTGTGGTTCTGAGTCGCGCCTGGCCACCTGCCACCGCGCGAACGTCCAGGCAGCCGCGTGGACGGGCACCAGCAGCCCGACGGCGGCAAAGCGCTGTGCCAGCGTGGTGCCGAGCAGCGGCTGGATGCCGTCGGCCGGCACCGGCGCGTCTCCGGCCACGAGGCAGACGCCCGCGAGGAACATGACCCAGTGCAGCAGCCAGACCCTGTTGACCATTCGGGGATGGACAGAACCCAGGGAGTAAAACGTGGTCTAGTGCAAACGACCGCGGGCCCAAACCTGGCGGGCTTAAGCCTGGAAAAGGACGGCCGCGGCGCCCTCTCGAGAACCGAAAACGGACAATTCACTAGTCGACGTGTCAGGGTGGGGGTTCTGTCCGCCCCCGATTGACCATGGTTTCACCGATCCCCGTCCCCATGTCACTGGCGTGGCCTGGGCCCCCCTGGCCGATTTCCCCCCCCCTAGATGGGGGTTAGTATAGGCTGTCCCCCTCGGGTTTGGAGTGGTGTCCCCAACTGCGGCGGTGTGATTGTGGGGCTGCGATACCCGATACCATGGCCTGGTGGGGATGGGTATACACGTCGGTCGGAAGAAGTAGGTGAAAACATGAAGTAGGAAGGTGGATTCAGTTGCTTGGGTCCAGGCCACCCCCAGGGAATAACAAAACACAGCAAAAGCGTGTCGATTCTTGAAGTAGGAAGGCGCTTGAAGTAGATTGGGGTCTGGGAATCCAAAAATACCTACTTTCAACGACCGGCGTGTACAGTCGAACCTGGGCCGGAAGAGCATCCCTCAAGAACACGAGACACTCCGCCGGCCAAGACGCGCAGAACGTCCCAGGGTGCCCTCCGCAGGGTGCACGAGACCGTCCAACAAGCACGCAGAACACGAGGGCACCCCCCCCGAACCGACCTCGATCTACTACCTCGCTCCGACTGTAGGTTCAACGATACTGACCTGTGTGTGGAACGCCAAATCAGGAACGGAGCCCCTCTTTGGTCCTCCTGCTCCTCCTCCTTTTCCTCCTCCTCCTCCTCCTCCTCCTCCTCCTCATCCTCCTCCTCATTCTCCGCTTCCTCCCCCCACTCCTAGCCCTTTCGATCAGGGTCGGCGGCACCGGCCGTCAGGCCTCTCCAATCAGGAACGGAGCCCCTCTTTGGTCCTGAAAGCGCCTCCGTGCCCGAGGAAGGCAAGAGGAACAGCAGCGGAGGAGCCTACCACCCTCTGGATTAAAAAGTTGTGACCGGCACTATGCGAGAGAGCGATCCCCGCGGGTTTCGCCGGTCGACTGGCCCTCGAGTCTCCACCATCGATGACCCCCGAGATGACTCCAAGGCAGGCCCGTGAACCGAATGACGGAACGGCCCCGCAGGGCGTGGAGCTCTGCAGCACAAAGTTATGGAAATCATCGCACACGAAATCTTTGTCTTCTGGCGGCATGGAAGGCAACCTGAAAGTGCTGTTTGAGGACGTCTTAAGTGAAACGACCACTCTCAGGCGGCATGAACATCGATCTGAAACTTTTTGTGAGGAAGTCCTAGGCGATATCGCCACTTTCAGACGGCATGGGAGAATTCAGATCGCCCTGGAAGGCGATCTGAAACTTTTTTGAGGATGTCCTAGGCGGAATGCCACTTTCAGACGCCGGCCCCATTTGGCCTTTATAATATTAAAGGGGGTGAGGTATGCGTCTGAAACTCCCAATTCGGCATCAAATCAACATTGTCCTGGGCCCCATGGCCTAACGGGTGGCCAACAGCGTCTCTCTCTCTCTCTCGAACCCCGCCGTCCCAACTTTTTAATCCAGCGGGTTGTAGGGAACCGCCGGCCAAAACACGCAGAACGTCCAAGGGTGCCCTCCCCAGGGTGCGCAAGAACATCCAACGAACAAGAAGGACACTGGGGTACCCTCCCCGAAGCGACCTCGATATCATACCTCGGTTCCCATATCCGCCTGCCCCAGTCCTCACTCTCCTCCTTTCAGTCCCTCCTCTTGCCCCTCCTCCCTCCTCCCTCCTCCCTCCTCCCTCCTCCTCCTCCTCCTCCTCCTCCTCCTCCTCCCCCCCCCCCTCCTCCTCCTCCTCCTCCTCCTCCTCCTCCTCCTCCTCCTCCTCCTCCTCCTCCTCCTCGCTCGAGGGGCAGCAGGCTGCGGCACAGCGATGCGGACCTGTGGGTAGAAGCGAAGACGCCCCACAGCGAGTGGATCTCGCGGTGCGTCTTGGTCTCCGCCGCGTCGAGCGACACCTCCCAGTCGACCCTGCGCAGCGCGGCAAAACGCATGTCGTGGGGGAGCTCGAAGAGCAGGGTGCCGTCCTCGAGTGGGACCCAGGGACGCACAGGCATACACGCACAAATCCGAAGATTCCCACATACTTTCTCACATGTTCTGGATTTCCGTCTTCCCCCCTCACTTCCCCGACCTTCCCATATTCTCCCTGGGCGTCGACGACTCATCGTGTCTGTGTGTGTGTTTGTCCCCTCCTGAGGCCTGGAGGATCAGGCCCTCGACGAGCCTCTCGGGGTCGCAGAAGAACTCGTTCCAGTCGTCGTAGTTGGCGACGTCGGCCGGGAGGAAGTTCTCAAAACCCGCCTTGAGCTTTTTCTTGTCCTGGAGAAGCAAACGAACTGTGCAAACGTAAACTCTCGGAGCTTCACGCGGATTTCTTGGATCGGCGCTGGGCCCCCATTGGCGGTGCCTCCGGCGCCGCCCTTGGCGCACCCCGCGCGCCAGAGAGGGGGGACCAGCGCCGATCCAAGAAACCCGCGCGGAACTCCAACAACAAACGTGTAAGTCATTTGTTTTCCTTCGACGTCCTTCTGGCTCGCCGGGTCCACGTCGACGGACTCGTACCACTCGTCGAAGACGGCGTTGTAGATGGGGCGGACCACCTTGGCCAGGAACTGGCCGCTGTGGTAGGGCCCGTGGTGCGAGTGCCCCCCAGGATGCGCGGAGCCGTAGAGCCGCTCCAGCCCACGCTCCCCGGCGGCGAGCGCCAACTCCGTGATGAAGTACACCACCTCTGGCATGAACCTCCGGCGGCAAGTCATGGGAGCCTCCCATACCATCTTGCTGGCTCTTGCGGATCGACGCGAATCGACGCTACATCGACGTCAATCGTCGCTGATGGACGCTAAATCGTCGTCATGCCGTCGATTACCAGACGCTAATCGACGCGAGCGCTCTCTGAAGACGGAGTTAGGAGGACATACAGTGAAGGCCAGTCCACAAGAAACCTTCCACAAGAAACCCAACCCTGAGATCCCAAGGCGTACACAGATCTTTGGTATTATTTGTGTGGGCACGGCACGCTCTCCATCGCAAAACCACCGGCGAAACCCAAGAAACGACCAGGGCACCCTGGAGGCAAGCAGGGTGTTGCTTGGCATGGATTTCCACTGTATTCGCTGTGGGTTACCATGGCCGTCCTTGTGCTGCACGAGTCGATGCCTTCATGGTTGCGAGCTTGCGATCTTGCACGGGTGCCCCATGGGGGTGCCCTGTGTCTTGCGCACTAGGGTTAAGTCGGGCCTGTCCCCCTTACAGGGGGATTTACGACGAAAAGTAAAACATACGAGTACAAACATCAAAACATAGTCCCAAAATAGTCTGGGGGCTATTTTTTGAGTATTTGTTGACCTTCTTGGAGCATTTTTGGGGTATCTTTTTTTGTCCGTCGAAAATCCGTCTGTAGGGGGACACGCCCGACATAACACTGGGGTGTCTCGTGGCAGGGGCCTCCACTGCACAAGGCTCCCATGCCTTGCCGCCGAGTGGCCAGGAAAAAACAAATGCCCAATCTCAAAATCGCGGATTCACCGAGGACTCGAAAATCAGCAAAAGATTTCGGGGTATGGTCTACGTTCGTCGTTGTCCCCGTGGCAAAACCCTGCCCGAAATCTCCCTTCCCGAAGTCTCGAGGAGCCTGCGTTCTGATCTGGCCCTCGCATTTTCGGGATTGGGCGTCGCTCTTGAGTTGGTGACCGAGAGCACCGGAGGTTGCCGGCCTCTCCCCACACGAGCAGGAACGCGGCGACCTCGGCGAGCTTCCGGGAGAGGTCCGCCCCGCTCTCCCCCGTGGCGCGGCAGCCCGCCTGCCCTCCCCGCTCCCATGCGGCCTCCGCGCCGGCCATGCTCGGCAGCCCCCCCGCAGCGGCCGGCACCCTGGCGCGGGGAAGGCTTGCGACCACAGCCACGGCGTCATCCCCCTCCCCCTCCTCCCCCCCCTTCCCCCCCTCCCCCCTCCCCCTCCTCCTCCTCCTCCTCCTCCTCCTCCTCCTCCTCCTCCTCCTCCTCCTCCTGCCGGACACCAGGGGTGCAGTGGATGTAGACAAGAGCAGGCCCCTCCGGAAGCCAGCTTCGTATGCGTATCCACTGCGCCCCGGGATTCTAGGGGAGGGGGGGAGTCCGGAAAGCAGGCCCGCAGTGGGCATGGACATGACTCGTGTCGTGTCTGGACCTTGCCCCGGCGCAGCGCCGCAGGTTCTCCCGCCACGCCACGAAGCCTTCGAGCAGCTCGGAGTGGAGGACTCCCAGCGCCTCTGGAGGAGCAAAAACTGGAAGGCCAGAAACTTTTGGAGCTCCGCGCGGACTTCTCGGATCGGCGCTGGAACCTCCCTTGCCTCCCTGGCGCGGGGAGCGCGCCAGAGGTGGTGCCCGGGGTGGCGCCAGGGGTGGCGCCAGGGGTGGCGCCAGGGGTGGCGCCAGGGGTGGCGCCAGGGGTGGCGCCAGGGGTGGCACCAGGGCGGCACCAGAGGCGCCGCCAGAGGGGCCCAGCGCCGATCCAAGAAATCTGCGCGGAGCTCCGACCATTTACGCTTCTCTTGTGTTGTTTGCCGAGCCTCGGCCAGCAACTCGGCCTCGTCGACCTGCTCCTGCCGATCGATGGCCCGGTCGGCCACCTGCGCGACCTGCGAGCGCCAGAGGGACAGCAAGTGCTCGTGCTGGTTCCGGACGTTGTCCGCCTGGAAGTCGAACGCCTCCCTCATAGGGCGACGAAGTCTATACATATCCACTGCTCCCTGGCCAGGCCCATCGTGAGCCCGGCAGCGGTGTATACGCGAGGCCCTCCTGGCTTGGCCAGGAGGGCGTATACACAGCTCCTGGGTTCAGGATGGGCCTGGCCAGGGAGCAGTGGATATGTATAGATCTCGTCGCCCGACCTCAGGGCACTGAAGAGGCTCGCCGACGCCCCGGCGAAGCCCTGGGCCTCGGGCAGCACGCGCAGGCAGCTCTTGGCGAGCCAGGCCCCGCGCAGCTCCGCCTCGAGGAGCCCGGCGTCCGCCGCAACTCCGCGCGCCGCCGCCCCCGGGCTGTCCTGCACCTCGACCGTGTCCTTGCGCAGGAGTGCCCTCTCCTCGCGCTTCTTCGGGAGGCACCACGAGGTCAGCCAGGACGCGGCGAACAGCAGCAGCAGTACCGCGAAGGGGAGCAGGACGGCCGTCACGGAGACGGACCAGTCCGCATTGCTGATGCAAATCGGTGACCCAGGGTAGATGCAGCACTCCGAGCCGCCTGCGATCACTGTGCCCCAGGCGTTGACAGCGTAGTTGGCCGCTCTCTCCAAATCTGAGTCGGTACCGTTGAGCAGGGCCTCGGCTATGCGGCACGCCTCGCCTGCCTGCGCCTCCTTGTCCTCCCACACCTCCTGCTGATTGTCGTTGAAACCCTTCCCCGCGGCGATGGCGTCGCGGTAGTCCTGGATGGTCCGATTCACGAGGTCGCAATTCCACAGGGCCAGGCTCCTGAGGCCCTCTGGACTACTCGCGGGCACGCTGCAGACGAACGCCTGCTCGTCGACAAGAGAGGAACTGGACTCCGTGGGAGCAGCCAGCACCCCCATCAGCAAGCCCGCAAGCAGGAGTTGCCTCGCTGGAGCAGCCGCCACCTTGAACGAAGGATTGCAAAAAAACCTCTGAACGAAGGATTGGGTTTTTTTTGCAATCTTTTGAACGAAGGTTTTTTTGCAATCCTCGGTTTTTTGCAATCCTGCGAACACCCCCCTTGTCCAGTGGCACCTCCATCGCCGCTGCCGCTGCTGCGCCGCCCGACCGCATCACGCGCCTCCGACGGTCGATCGCACTCGCGCGGCCCTGGGCTCTTGCCAGGGAACGCCTGAGCCAACACGACCGCGGGAAGGACAGGGGGGAGAGAGAGACAAGACAACGATGAAGGATCCAACAGCGATCCCGAGATGCCCTTGCGCGAGAGAAGGCCAACAGGTCGAGACTCGGTGATATTCAGACAACAAAACATCCACCATGCAAACATGCAGAGACTGCCTCCTATCTTCGCCTTGTCGGGAAACGCTCCGCACAATCTCATAAACAGGGGACCACCACCCCTGACACTCTCACCCCAGACCAGACCCCCCCCCAACAGATGGTGGGGATCACTGGGATTTCAAGGATCTCAGCGATCACTGCGATCACCGGGCCGGTCCCCCCCTGGTGTTCGCAGAGTTCAGGGGGAGTGTTGCTCAAGACCACAAGCCCTCTAATCATACGTGGTTTGGATCGCTTCCCCTGCTTAGTGAACACCCCCTTCCCCGTTCGACCGACTGTCGATGAGGAACAGTAGTCAGCCACACGATTCGTGTCAACTTAAAGGGCATTTGAAAGCGTTGGCCCCAATTACGCTACCGAGGCGCCCCATAAGCTTCTCCTAGGCCCTGCGTTGCTATTCCATGTTGCGCCCTGTGTGGTTAGAACTTTCTATGGGGATCACCTAAGGAGTATCGCGCCGCAGTGGCATGATCAACGCAGTGTGTCGGCACGCTCGAGACAGCACTGCGTGACTCTCCTGCTCCAGCTCCTCCCTCCTTTCCCTCTCTTGGCCCCACCCACCTCCGCCGTGGCCGGATTCACGTTCGCACTGCACTCTTTCCGCGCTCGCGTGGCTAGACTCACGTTCGCTGCAGCCCCGAGACAGCCCGAGACCAATCTCGGCTCCTTAGAGAGCATCCCCATCGTCTGTTCGGTACCTGGCGGAAGCGCCACCACTGTTCCGGAGCCTAATCCATCTCCGCCATCCGTTCGGTGCCAGGCGGAGTCGCCACCACTGTCCCGCAGCTTGGGAATTCAACATCTGTTTCGTCCATCAAATTCGAAAAATCCGTGGCATGGCCGCCGCCTCCCCCAACTGGCGTCGAGCAAGCGCTGCGCCTGCCAGGCTTTGCGACAGTGGCGCGTAGAGAGACCGCGCTCAGAGACTACCCGCTGCGCACCCCGTCTGGTGTCGAGACAATGCCACGCCTGCGAGGCTTTGTGGCACTGGCGCGTATAGAGACCGCGCTCAGGGACCACCCCCTGCGCACCCCCTCTGGTGTCGAGCAAGTGCCACGCGCGCTAAGCTTTCCAACGCTGGCGCGCGTAGAGACCGCGCTCAGGGACCACCCCCTGCGCACGTGGAGAAAGTGCCACGTCTGCTGGGCTTTGCGTCAGGAGGAGGAGGAGGAGGAGGAGGAGGAGGAGGAGGAGGAGGAGGAGGTGGCGTCTATAGAGACCTCGCTCAAGGACCACTCCCTGCGCACCCCCTCTGGTGTCGAAAAAGCTGGAACGCCTGCCAGCTGTTGTGACACTGGCGCTCATAGAGACAGTGCCAGTGCGGTGTGGAGAAAGTGCTACGCCTGCTAGGCTTTGTGACCTTGGCGCATAAGGAGACCGCGCTCAGAGTCTACCCCCTGCGCACCCCATGGGATCTCGAGCAACAATTACGCCTGCTAGGCGTTGCGACATTGGCGCGTACAGGGACCGTACTCAGGGACCACCCCCTGCGCACCTCTTGTGTTGTGGGGAAATGTCACGCCTGCTAGGCTTTGCGACTTTGAAGCGTTAAGAGACCGCGCTCACGGACAATCTCCTGCGCACCCCCCAAGTGTTGAAAGACTGACACATCTGCTAGGCTTTGCGACATTGGCGCGTATACGCGCGCTCAGGGACAGGGACCACCCCCTGCGCACCCCCTCTGGTGTCGAGAAAATGCAATTCCTGCCACGCCCTGCGACCCCGAAACGGACAAGGGGACCACCCCCAGCTTGCGACCCCGAAGCAGGTATGGGGGACCAGCCCTTGCGCCCCCCCTGTGGCGTCGAGAAATGAACGCTTGCCACTCCTTGCGAGCTCGACGCAGATAGGGGAACCTCCCCCAGCACACCCCTTGTGGTGTCGAGGACACGCCTGCCACGCTGCGCATACCCAGAACGGATGAAGGGGGCCACCCCCAGCACACCCCCTGTGTGGGGTCTCACACCTCCTGGGGCGTCGGGGAAAGGCAACGCCGGTCACGCGTTGCGAGCCGAAGCGAACAGGTGAACCACGCCCAGCGCACCCCCTGCTGTGCCGAGGGAGAGCCACGGCTGCCACGCCCTGAGAACCCGACGCGTATGCGTTGGACGGCCTGCGGATCCTACGCGTACGTGGTACGTGGTTTGCATACCATGCGATTGACTAGATCTGCGTCGGCTGTTTGCGTATGAGGTGTGTGCGGCTGTATGTGGACGTGCGCTTAGGCATGGTACGAATGTGTGTGTGCGCATGGTGTGCAATGTATGCGTGCGTATGTCTGATGCGTGTACGAGCGAGAAGGAATATGGGATGAGGAGAAGCGCGGGTGCGACGAGGGTGGGACGAGTACAATAATAACCCCACTAACCATGTGGGAAACCACTAACACCTCCTGCGCTCTCGACGTGCTATGGTGGTCGAATCCGCGTGGTGCAACCTGCGTTGCACAGCCCACAGGGTCCACAATGCGCAGTGTAAGCTTTGTGCAATGTGTGAGATGCGATCTATGTGGTGTAATCTTTGCTGGGTTACCCACATGCGTTCTCAATCGTGAACGCTATGCGCTGCAATGTACGCTATGTGGTGCAATGCGTTGTACGCTATGTGGTGCGACCTATGTGGTGCAGTCCACTTGCCGAACTTGAAATTGACACCTCCACTGCTCGCGCAATCATCCCACCCACCCACCCGCAACTTGATTTGCAAAATCTCTTAAGACCGTGACGGTGAGTACCAACTTACACTTGGCAACGACAGCGACGCCGACGACGATACCGACAACGACGACGACGACGCCGACAACAACTACGACGACACCGACGACGTCTCCAACGACTTCGACGACGCCGACAACGACGACGACGACGACGACGACACCGACGACGACGACGACGCCGACAACGATGCCAACGACGACGACGATGACGACGCCGACGACGACGACAACGACGACACCGACGACGACGACGATGTCAACGACGCCGTCGACGACGACGACGACGACGGCGGCGACGACGACGACGCCGACGCCGACGACGACGAAGACGACGACGACGCCGACGCCGACGACGGCGAAGACGACGACGACGTCGCCAACGAAGACGACGACGAGGGTGGAGGGAGGACGAGGACGGCGACAACGACGACAACGACGACAACGACGAGGGAGGAGGGAGGACGGCGACGACGCGAACGACGAAGGAGGACGGATGGCGACGCCGACGACGACAACGACGAGGAAGGAGCGAAGACGACGACGACGACAACGACGACGACGACGACGGCGACGAAATAGGAGGGACGACGACGAGACGCCGACGACGGACGACGACGACAAGGGAGGAGGAGGAAGGACGACCACGGCGACAACGACGACGGAAACGACCACGACGCCAAAGAGGACGACGACGACGAACACGAGGAAAGACAGATGACGACGAAGGCGACGACGACGACGACGACGCGGGAGGAGGGAGGACGGCGACGACGACGACGACGACGACGCAAGAGCGCGCGCACACGCTTTTGTTGAAAATCCGTGTTGCGAAATCTTGTGTTTGTGTAGGTTTGTTGGACACACGATTTTGAAATCCTGCCGAAACCGATGCGTTTTGAAGGATTTCGGCATGCGCGCGCGACGACGCGCGCGTCTGCACTTCGTCCCATTTTTTGCAGAGGATTCTCGCGACGGCACACGCGCAAGGGCGTTCGACAGATTTCGACATGCGCGCGCGAAGCCCGTTTGGTAGAATGTGTGAAAATCTTGAAAACCAATGGTTTTCTTACGATTTCGCAAGAGCTCTCTCGTAAGCTTTTTTAGCAAAGCAGTGTTGCGAAACCCTGTGTTTTCGTATGTTTTTTGGAAACTTGATTGCGAAATCCTTCCGACACCGAAAAGGTTTTTGAAGGATGCGACGACGCGCGCGTGTGCGCTGCGTCACACGTGTTGCAAGGGATTCGTAAAAAAACGTTATGTTAGAACAAAAGATGTCCCCGCGTATCGTTTTTTACAAAGGAACCTCAGGGGGGTCGATACCGGCCCCCCGGGGATCGTGTACATTCATATTTTGGATGGACATGTGGTCATAATCATATATGGTTGACATATCCGAAAGGGGGGGATGACGCCTGGGGGGGGGTAGAGTGTATTCTGTTTTTGGAAAGGAGAACCTAGGTAACGCACTAATTAGCTTAAAAGAACTTGGAACCGCTGACTCCAATGCTCGAACAAACATGCCAACCACCATCCGCAACTCCTTGACACGACTGAACTGGCACGATGACGCGTGGATCGTTATCATGCAGATTCCTTGCCCGGGCGGGGGAATGATGACGGTGACGACGACATTGGCGACGACGACGATAGTGCTGCTGCTGCTGCTGTTGGCGATGATTACGAGGGCGAGAATAATGACGATCACGGTAATGACGACAGCGGTGATGATGATTCTCCCATTGGGCTGAACGGCAATGAACCCAGCATGGGTTAGCAGGATTTCAGCAAGTGCGCGCGCATATATTTCAAATTTTCTTGTTTGAACGCAATCGTATGGGTTTAGCTGTTGTCGAAACCAAACTTAAGACACACACTTGCTGACTGAGATTGGCAAGCGCGCGCGCGCTCGCGTGGTCTGGATACCGTTATTGAAGAGGGGTTGATTGAACACGCCCTCGTAAAGAAAAAATAATGCACCGCATACAGCTGTTTGACAGGGATGAAGGGGGCGATGAGGGGACTGGCTGGCATGGCATGGTGTCGTAAGGATTTGTGGCAGCGTGGACTCCAAACAATCACTTATTGCACAATCGAAGTGATAGTTCTGCGCTGCAAGCTATCTGGTGTTAGCTCGGTTGTGTACTTCGAACTGCTCAATAAACACCCCCACCCCGCCCGACGGCCCGTCCTGTCCCCCCCCCCACGCGCACCGCACTCACACTCGAGCGCGATCCGTTCTCACACGCCCCGCGACGGACGGCCCAATATGACCCCCACGCGGTCTGCCCTTCCAACACCCACGCCCCACACGTATCTAACACACGGAGTAAACTTTGCGGAGTGAGCCGGGTTACGTTAGCTGTGCTGTGTAAGCTCGCTGGTGTGACCCATGTGTTTCAAGCGACGTAGTGTAAGCAATGTGATGTGAGCTATGTTGTGTGTGCGTCATGCGGTATGAGCTATGTGGTGTGAGCTACGTTGTGCAAGCTATGCGGTGTAAGCTGTGCGGTGTGAGCTGTGTTGTGTAAGCTATGCAGTTTGTGCTATGGTGTGCAACCTCGGCGGTCCCAACTCAGGACACGGAGCGCCCGCGAGCGCCCACGAGGAGCCCATACACATCGGGGACGCACTGACCCGGGTCAATGCAAACCCGGGTCAGTGCAACCCCGGCTCTGCAGGATCCTGCAATCTCCAGCGCCCTGGCTGACCCCCGCGTGCATCGACCCCCGTCTCTTGAGCCCCGAGGGCAGGCGCCAAGCGACGCCCCGGCGACCCCCCCCGCGAGGCGCCCACGAGCGGGCAGGCGAGGCGGACCCACCCACGAGGCGGACCCACCCCTCGTGGGCGCCCGCGAGCGCCCTCGTGGACGCCCACGCGCGGGCGCCAGGCGAGGCCTCCGCGGCCCCCCCCGGCCAGGGCGCGGGGCGCCCACGCGGCGCCCACGCGGCGGGCACCAGGGCGACGCCTCGGCGGAGCCACGGCGGGCGCGGGGCGCCCCCGGGGGCGGGCGCCGGGCGAGCACTCGGCGGGCACGCCCACGGCACGCGGGGCGCCCCCGAGCGTCGGCTGGGCGGGCGCGTGGCACGCCCTCGGCGGACCTGACCTGTCGTTGGCAGGCCGAGCAGGGACCCCTAGGAAGTGCAAGCAGTGTCTGGGGAATAGCAACTCGGCGGCGGTTGGTCATTGAGTTAGGCAGAAAACATCGATACACCACCACCGTGCCAGGCCAGGGCCATCGTGGGCCCTGGGATGGGCTATACGCCATCCTGGCCGAGGCCAGGAGGGTCCATACACCATCCTGGGGCCCAGGATGGCCCTGGCCTGGCACGGCGGTGGTGTACAGATGCCTTCGCTGGATGTGTGTGGCCTCGACGTGGCTACATATCTCACTTTTTTTTTTTTTCAAACGAGAGGACCTGCGGCTGCTGCTGCAAGCTGCATGTGTGCGGAGCGGCTTCGGGCGGCAACCGGCCGAAAACCCATGGAACGCCCAGCCGGCGCGCCGGGCGGCGACGAGGCGGCGACCAGGCAGAGAGGCCCGCAACGCTGGCCTGCGCACGGAGCGACGACTATTACCAGCCTCGAACGTATCCCTATCCCTAAGGTTGACACGCCAAAAGGCGATGACAGTCTTAGGGATTTGCCCTACAAGAAATAAGGGAATCCTCATAAGAGTGGCCTCGTGATGAGGCGATGCCGAACATAGGGATAGGGATATGTTCCAGGCTGGTAAGAATAGCCGGCGATGGGCGGGGAGTGGGCGAAGACAGTGCAACGTCAGACAACACACGGGGCCCGGGGCGACGACGAGGCGACGACGGGCGGCGACTGGGCGCAAACCCGGCGTCGCCAGCAACTGACTGTCGAGGGGCGCAGGTGCCTCCCACTGCAAGCGCAGCTTGTGGAACCAACGCACGAGGCGGCAAGATCAGCATCGTGCGCATGCCCCCCGCTATCACTTAGCATTGGCTCTTCGCGGGGACTGCCCCCCCTCGATCTGGATAGGGGGGTCGACGGGCTATCGCGTCCGATACCGCCCAAGATGGCTCCAAGATGGCCTCGGACCTCAGATGGCCCAGCATGGCTCCCAAGATGGCTCCCAACATGGCGTTCCCCAGGCTGTCCCACGACGGCTTCAAGTGGCCACGGACCCCCCCTATGAGGCCCAACTCACCGATCACCTCGCCTTCTCGCTTCGGATGGGCTGCTGAGGCCCCAGGATCGCTTCACGGTCGCCCGAGAGAGCCCCAGGAGGGGCCCAGAAATTCTCAAGACGACCCCAGGAGCGCCCAAGAGCACCCCAAGACGGTCTGAAATTTGCGACCTTTTCGAATGCAAGAGAAGAATCATTGGCCTCTCGTTTTTCCATCACCATTTGGTCGGGCATGCCCTCCTATAGGCGTATTTTGGAAACAGTAATACAAGCTAGTCGAACAAGCACGAACAATGGTCCCCGGACTATTCTATGTACTATTCTTGGGCACTCCTCCTGTAGAGGGACATGCCCGACTTAACACTAGCAGCATCACAGACACACCATACATGGTGCTAAGTGGCTTTGGCTTGGCGGGGGCATCCTCGGCAAATCTTCGGGCTGGTCTATTGCTTCAAGCTGTCCCCACGTAACTAGCGCTGGCTTCTAAGACGAGGCGATGTAGCCCGACATTGCCCAGCATGTCATTCAGCATGCTTCCGGCCGGCCTGTGCGACCCCCCTTGCCTCCTTCACCGTTCGCTTCCGATGGGCCCCTGAAGCTTCAGCATGAACGGCCCTTCAATGATGTCCCCGAGAGGGCCAAACTCGTTCGAGCACCCGTGCACTTGTTTTGCCTCCTTCACCGTTCGCTTCCGATGGGCCCCTGAAGTTTCAGCATGAACGGGCTGAGCACGTGAGCGTTCTCTTATTCGGCGTCTCGACATTGGGCGGAAGAGGGGGGGCGGAGGGGGGGGGTCTGGCTCCGGACCTCTGCTCAGTGCGGCCGTTTGCAACCGTGCGTCCTGCGGGGGAGACTCCATCTGCCTGGAGCAGGCGCCCAAAACGGCCAAGACCTACTCCATGCGGGGGGGGAGGAGGAGGAGGAGGAGGAGGAGGAGGAGGAGGTGGAGGAGGAGGAGGAGGAGGAGGAAGACGAGGAGAATCGAGGAGGCTTTCGGACCTCGGGGTCTCTAGGTCCCCTCGGGGGTGCGAGGGCCCGCGCCGAGCGGCAACACAGTGAATAAACAACGATGATGACCACAACCCCAGCAGAACCTCGGCCTCACGGCATCGTGGGCCGACCTGGCCACGATAGCCCTGCTGCCCACGCCGTCATCCCGTCGGCCTTGAGTGGACAGGACACGCGAGGGGACACGAGACCCTTCCGAGGAGGAGGAGGTGCGAGGAGGAGGAGGCAGGAGGATGGGAGGAGGAGCGAGGCGGAGGAGGAGGAGGAGGAGGAGGAGGAGGAGGAGGAGGAGGAGGAGCGAGGAGGAGGACGGGAGAGGCGGAGGCGGAGGCGGAGGCGGAGGAGGAGGAGGAGGAGGAGGAGGAGGAGGAGGAGGAGGAGGAGGAGGAGGAGGAGGAGGAGGAGAGGGCCACATCGCCATAGGAGTGTAAGAAAGGCACGTGTCGCGAGGCACAGGACACAAAGGGTACTGTATACCCTTGGGCTGGCAGGGTCGACCTACTAATCCGGGCCGACTGCAGAATACTAATCGGACAGCCTGGTGCCTGCACTGTGCGGAGCTGTTTGCTGCGATCCACGTCCAGCTCTCCACGGGCGCGTGAACGACGCAAGCCGTTGGAAGCGAGGGCCCCCGCGCGAGACCCTGCGCGGGTAACTTGCGCGCGAATGTCCTCGCAGTCGAATCCGTTGTTGTGCGCCGCTCGCGCGTCGTCGTCACTCACGCTACTTGCGTGGAAAGGCGTGCTTCCGACGTGTGCTCCGCCATGGCGGCAGACCCACCTACGTCGTCACGGTCCCGCTCGTCCTCGCTCTGGCTCTGTGTGCTCCTTTTTGCCCCTCGTCCCCCTTCTGCTCCTTCCCCCCGCCTCCCTCCTCGCTTGCTCCTCTCCCCCTCCTCCTCCTCGCCCTCCCCTCCTTCTCCTCCGCCCCCTCCCCTGTCACCTCTTCCCTCCTCCCCTACCCGCTCCTCCCCCTCCGCCGTCCACGATTCCCCTTCTGGTGCACCACCGGCACTGGTGCAGCCTCAGGCGGGGAGGAGGATGAGGAGGAGGACCATGTACATATTGCCCCGCTGCGGGCGCCTCAAGTCCCTGCGGCCGTGAGAGGGTCTGGCTGCTTCCACCTGGACTTGGGGCTCCCCAGGCGCGCTGGATGCTGGCGGCACGCAGGCGGGGGGATGACCAGGAGGGTGGCGTTGTAAGACGGCGGCGGGCCTCTTCGAAATGACTGGCCCTTGGCAGACCATAGGCCCCACGCGGCCCACGCCTTCCAAGTGGCGGGGGGGCCTTCTGGAACAACGCCCCCCGCGGCCTCGCCCCCGTCTGCGCGCCGCCAGGGATGGCCGAGCGGAAGCGACGCCCACTCCGGCCCGCACCTTGCGTCTCCGAAGTAGCGCCGCTGGTACCTCTCGAGCGCGCCGTCCTCCGCCAGCGCGGCGGCCAGCCGAGCAGAGGCCTCTGAACCGGCGGCGCCGGCTTCAACGGCGGCTCGCAGGGCCGCGAGCTGAGCCAGCTTCGGCCGCGGGTCGGAGGAGCCGCTGGCGCCGCCCGCCTCCGCGGCCGCCCACGTGGGGCCCGCGCGGGTCACCCAGTTGGCGTGGTGCACCGCCAGCCTCTGCGGCGGCGGCCCGCTCAAGGCCTGCGAGGAGGCCCAGAAACGCGGCGGCAGCCGCCCCCACGGCATGCCCAAGGTGGAGGCGTACCCCGTGTAGAGCAGGTCGTTGACCACCCTCTGGTCAAGACCGCCGCGATCCTCCACCAGCTCGAGGACCCGCTGCCAGAACGCCAGGCTGGGGCCTGTGCGACGGACGGCCATGAAGCCGATGTTGACGCCTACGTCGTGGCACTCGCGCTGGAAGCACGCGTCGAGCCCCGCCATCGCCTCCTGCACGTCTGGCAACACCGCGGTGAAGAACTGGACGTCCACGTCAGAGAATATCACGAACGACCCTGGCTCGGCCGCCTCGAGGGACTCCAACAGGTGCTTAATCTTGAAAACGTAGACCGCCTGGCCACCTGCGGCGCGGTGGGGGTTTGCGCCGATGTCCTTCACGTACGCCTCGCGCAGCTCGATGTCGGTGTCCCGCACGGAGGCCACGAACTGGTCGCGCAGGGGCCGGAAGGCCTCGTCCCAGCAGAAGCAGAGGCTGACGCGAGCCGGCCCGCCCACGCCGTCGCCGCACGGCTGGGCGCGCAAGCCTAGCCGGTGGGCGCCGGCACGCGTGTGAAGGGGCAGCACGCACGTGGGAGCACCCCATATCCATGTCAGTAATCCCCAAAACAACAGGCGCCCCGCCCGAACGACCGCCGCTCCGCGCGCACCCCTGTGGCCGAAGGGCGCCCCCATCGCTGCTGCGGGTGCTGCGCCGCACCGCCGAGTCAGCGTACGTGTCCAGCGTTCGAGCACACTGGTGCTGCCATGGGCCCTCGCACAATAACACTTGAACCGATATGGGCACGGAGAAAACGGCAAGAGAACGGCAACAGAGTCATGCCGAAACCGCTAAACTGTCCGCGCGAAAAAAAAGGTTATCAGCCTAGTGCTGCGTGGGGGGGGGGACCGCGTCATGATCCGGGGCGTGTGCGCGGACGAGGCGGGGACAGGTATGTTTCCCAAGCAGTGCTCGCACCTAAGATTCCATACTTCTGCCGCAAAGGAATTGGATGGGTCCGCCGAGGTTTTGCCGCGTCGCAGTCCGTGGCCGCCTCGTGGCCGCCTCGTTGCCTGGGGGGTCCGTCGAGGTTTCGCCGCGTCACCGCCCGTGGCCGCCTCGTTTCTGCTTGGGGGTCCGCCGAAGATTCGTCGCGTTGCCGCCCGTGGCCGCATTGTTACCGCGTCACCACATAGCTTACACCGTATAGCGTGCAACGCATGGGCCTAAACAACATACCTTGCATCAGGTAGGTCGCACCACATCGCGTGCATCACATATCTTGCGCCACATGGCCCATAGCTGGCACCACATAGCTTTCACCACGCACCACGTGGCTTACACGTCCACAGGGCAATAACTGTCTGTCTGGGGTCCACGCCGGTGAACATGTTGAAACCAGAAGTGCAACATAAACATACTTCTGTGGCATCTGGGAGATAGCATGGCCCTGGCCAATCTATCCACCCCCCTTGTCCCCACACCCTCGTCCTCCCCGCCCCCCAGCAAAGAATTGTTCGGCCCTCCTGAATGCCTCCTCTTACGGCTTCCTCCAGGAACTGCGCAGCCAGGCCCCCGCCCATTCGATGCCGCTTCCCCGCGGGAGGCTCGCGCCCGCACGCGCGAGCGCTCGCGAGCGCGCCGAGTCGCGCTGCGAGGCGCCACCCCCGTCTCGGAGCGAGGCCTCCCGCCAGTCGCGGGGCGCGACACCCCCGCCGATGCGACGCAGCTGCCTCGCCCCAGCCCGGCGGGGCACGGGCTGGTTTCGCTGGCGCTGGCTTCGCTGGCGGCTGGTTTTGCCACCGGCTGGTTTCGCCGCGGGCTGGTTTCGCGGGGGCCGGCTTCGCTGGCGGATGGTTTCGATGGGGCTGGTTTCGCTGACGGCTGGTTTCGCTAAGGCGCTGGTCGGCGTCGTCGTCGTCGTCGTCGTCGTCGTTTTCGTCGTCGCCGACGGACGGGACACTAACGGGCAGGAATCCAATGGGCGGGTCGGGCGGGTGGGATCCTACGGGACGATCGGGTGGGCGGGACTTCACGGGCGGGTCGGGCGGGCGGGACCCCAACGGGCGGGTCGGGCGGGCGGGGCCCTAACGGGACGGTCGCGCGGGCGGAACACCGACCGGCGGGTAGGGCGAGCGGGCGGAACCCAGACGGGACGGTCGGGCGGGCGGGACATGAAAGCGGGGGGGCTTGCCAACGCGCGAACGGGCTGGACCCTAACGGGCGGGTCGGGCGGGCGGGGCCCTAACGGGGCGGGTCGGGCGGGGAGGGGCCCTCACGGAATGGTCGGGCGGGCGGGCTTAGGCGGGTGGTGCGGGCGCGGCCCTATAACGGGACGGTCGGGCGGGCGGGACATTTCAAGCAGGCGGGCGGGCTTGCCAGCATGCGAATGGGTGGGGCCCTGCATGGCGGGTCGTGCGGGCGGGACCCGAACGGGGCGATCGGGCAGGCGGGATCCTAACGGGCGGGTCGGGCGGGGGGGGCCCTGACAGGCGGGTGGGGCGGGTGGGGCATTAAAGCGGGCGTGGGGGCTTGTCAGCACCCGGGCGTACTGGACCCAAGAGGGCGGATCAGGCATGTTGGAGCTTGCCAACACGCGAACGGGCGGGGCCCGAACGACGACGACGAAGACGACGACGCCGACGACGACCGCTACCACTACCACGACGGCGACGACGACGACGACGACGGTGGCGAGCGACGACAGCGTCGACGACGAGCGACGACAAAAATGACGGGCGGGTCGGCGAAACCGGCCGTCGGCGAAACCGGCCGACGCCCCCAGCGAGAGGCTCGCGCCAGTCGCAGTGCCCAGGCGCGCAGGGAGGTGCCATCCCAGGCGGGGCGAGGCCCCCCGCCGCTCGCGGAGCATAGGGCCCCGCCGTTGCGCAGGTCCCCAGTCGCGCGCGCAGCGAAGCGCCGTCCCAGTCGCGGAGCAAAGGCCCCTGCGGATGCGGCGTATGCCGCATGACGACTCCCCCCTCACTCAAGGTGGCATTGTAGGGGTATATAGATGCGAGGAGCGACAAACATTCCCTCGCGTCAACCCGGAGAAGCAATTAAGAACCCCCCTGGCGTTATCATTAGCACCGCGCCGTGATTAAATAAGTATTTGGGGGGTTGTCCCCGAGCGATATAATTGGCACCGCGCAAATGCAAGGAACATAAATAATTCCTGCGCCCCGTCTCGGATGGCATCCCAATTGGAATTGCAATAAGAATAAGAATGCGAATAAGAAGAATAATACGAATAAGAACAATAAAACGAACAAGGCGAGTGTTACAGGTACTGCTGACACCGTAACTGTTACTGCTACCGCGATGACGATGATGATGCTGATGACGGCGGTGGTTTCGAAGCGGCCTGGGCAGGCGACCGGAACTCCAGCCTGAAATGCGCTGAGCGAGTCCTCAGCTTGAAACATGCGGGAACTGCGGCCAGAAGTACTGCGCTGAGGCGCTGAATCTCTGAACTGCGGCCTGATAAGGAAACGCTAAGAAAAGCTAAGGAAAAGCGGGACCAAACTTAAGGAACAGCTTAGACAAGCTAAGGAAGAGCTTCGAAAAACTGAGAAAAGCTAAGGACAAGCTGAGAAAAGCTGAGAAATGCTGGGGCAAAAACTAAGGACAAGCTGCGAAAAGCTAAAGGACAGCTTAGAGAAACTGAGAAAAGCAAAGGGAAAGCTCGCAATCTAAGGAAAAGCTGAAAACAAGCTAAAGAAACATTAAAAGAACAAAGGGAAACTAGGAAACATCTGAAAAACAAGCTAAGGACAAGCTGAAAAACAACAAAGGAACAGCTACGACAAAAGCTAAGGAAAAGCTGGAGCAAGTGAAGGAATATCTAAGAAAAGCTAAGGAAGATGTGAGAAAAGCTAAGACAAGCTAAGAGCAAGCTGAGAAATGCCAGGAGAAACTAAGGAGCAGCTGAGAAAAGCAAAGGAAAAGCTGAAAACACTAAGGAAAACGAATGACCATCTAATTAAAAAACTAAGGGAAAGCTGAGAAAAGCTAAGGAAAAGCTGAGCAGTTACGGAAACGCTGAGAAAAGCCAAGGAAAAGCTGAAAACAAGCTAAGGAATATCTGAGAAAAGCAAAGGAAAAGCAAGGAAAAGCTGAGAAAAGCAAAGGAAAAGCTGATCAGCTTGTTTCCGATGAGGTTTCTATTGGAACTCCTCTAAAGATTTTTTTCCGGCCGTCGTAGGGAGTGGTCCACCCGAGGGTATCCCACCCGCTCCGCACCGCGGCGTTATCTTAGCACCCGGCACAACAAAACATCCGCGTGACATCTTCCTGCTTCTTCTCGCTCTTCTCCTTCTCCTCCTCCTCCTCCTGCCTGTCTTCATCCTGCCTCTACTAAGAAATCTTAGGATGTCTCAGGCAAGTTGGCGTCGCCGTCGCCGTCGCCGTCGCCATCGCCGTCTCCTCCTCCTTCTCCTCCTCCTCCTTCTCCTCCTCCTCCTCCTCCTAGCCACAGGTGCCAGAATAACGCTTCCAGGGTGCGGGACGGTTATCGTTTCGCCGGAAGGGGGGGGGGGGGGGTTCTGTAATTGCTTCTTCGGGTCATGCGAGGCAAATGCTTATGTACTCACTCTGCGCGCTGTGAATCAAATCCGCCGGCCCCCTTGTGGGGCCACCAGGCTGTAGGACGAAGCTTCGCAGTTTCCTGTACCAGTTGCAGCTTCCAGTTTCCACTGTTACAATTCTGTTTCTTGCTGCTTGCTGTTCCTTGTTGATGGACCGCGCGAGGGGGGAGAGGCCCAAAACGGGCATTTTTACCACGCCGAAAACGTATGCTCTGAATTGCTGGGGTGGGTAAGACTTGACACCCCTCACGCAGATCGGCGGGCTCAGGGTCAAAAAAAACATGGGATTTGCCACATTTCTGAAATTCGGTGGCACCCCTCACCCAGATCGGCGGGGTCAGGGTCCAAAAACATATGTATTTTGATACATTTCGGACATTCGGTGGCACCCTTCACGCAGATCGGCGGGGTCAGGGTGCAAAAACACAAGGGATTTGCCATATTTCTGAAATTCGGTGGCACCTCTCACGCAGATCGGCGGGGTCGGGGGCAAAAATCAGGGATTTGCCGCATTTCTGAATTTCGGTGACACCCCTCACGCAGATCGGCGGATTAGAGTGCAAAAACACAAAGGATTTGCCACATGTTTGAAAGTCGGTGGCACCCCTCACGTAGATCGGCGGGGTCAGAGTGCAAAAACAGACGGGATTTGCCACATGTTTGAAATTCGGTGGCACCCGTGACGCAGATCCGTAAGGTCAGGGTCGAAAAACAAACAGGTCCCGACACTGCTTCACGGCGGCGCCCAGACCTCATGATTTAGCTTTTGTATCTCCCATTCTCCGAGACAAGGGGCCCGCGGCATGGGGCGAACCCCTTCCGGATAAACGCCAATAATATACAACCAGACCAAACCCGTGTGCGGTCTAACTCATGTGCTGTAGCCCTAGCTCATTGGACGCTGTAAGCAAAAGCCTTTGCAAACTCTGAGTTTGGATTGTCCTTCCAAATCTTGATGCAGTCCTCGATTGCCTTCTTCCTCGCCTCTTCTTTTCCACCTTGAGCTTTCAGCAACGCGGCGTGAGCTTTGAGAAGGTCCGCATGGCCCATTTTCATTCTGACTCTTGAAACACAGCCTGCACTAGAGCGTTGCACGCGATGGCCACGTTTGCTGTTTCCACGGGAGACGTGGCGGAAACATGGCGCCGATGCCGCCTGATTTGGCGAATGCACACGTCGCACTTGAAAGAAAACGGGCCCCATCGCCAATCCACGCGCCTTAATCCATGGTTGCGGTTCCTCGATATCCTCGGCTGCGCAGATGTTCTCCGTCCTCATCTCCCCAGAATCCCCAATCCTCCTGACCATTCTGCCTACTCGCTACTTTCCCTGCTGCGCCTCCCAGACCACCATCACGATCTGCTCCTCCTTCAACTCCTCAGCATCATCCTCCTCATTCTCATCCTCCCTCCTCATCCTCCTCCTCCTCCTCAATTTCATCCGCATCTGCATTCGCATCCGCATTCTCATCCTGCTCACCCTCATCCTCATCCCCATTCCCATCATCCTCATCCTCATCTTCATCCTCATCCCCATCCCCCACCTCCTCATCCTCATACTCCTCATCATCATCCTCATCATGATCGGCATTATCACCACCATCATCACGATCACCATCCCCATCCCCATCACTATCATCCTCACCCTCACCCTCACATCCTCATCCTCATCCTCCTCATAATCAGCATCATCTTCAGCAGCATCACCATTGCCATCACCATCAACATCATCATCATCGTCATCATCATCGTCATCAGCATCATCATCACCATCAACATCATCATCAGCATCACCATCATCATCATAATCATCATCATCATCATCACCATCGTGCTAATCAGCATCATCAGCATCCATCATAATCATCACCATCATCACCACCACCATCATCATCAGCAGCATCATCAGCATCATCAGCATCAGCATCATCAACATCAGCATCAACATCATCATCATCACCACCATCATCATCATCGCCATCGTCATCATCATCAGCAGCACTGGCATCAGCATCAGCATCAGCAGCATCAGCATCAACAGCAGCAGCATCAGCATCAGCATCAGCATCAGCATCACCATCATCCTCATCCTCATCCTCATCCTCATCCTCCTCATCCTCCTCATCCTCCTCCTCATCAGCATCAGCATCAGCATCAGCATCAGCATCAGCATCATCATCATCATCATCATCATCATCATCATCATCATCACCATCACCATCACCATCACCATCACCATCACCATCATCATCATCATCATCATCATCATCATCATCATCATCATCAAGATCATCTTTCTCATCCTCATCACCATCCTCATCCTCATCCTCATCCTCATCCTCCTCCTCCTCATCATCCTCATCATCATCCTCATCATCGGCCTCATCTCTCCTGATGGCATACGTCCTGGAAGTACCCGCCAGTAGGAGCGATAGGGGGAGGGCCATGCTTTTTGCCACCGCACGGGGCGTCGCCAGCCCGCACGACCGCGAGAGGGTCTGGCTGCCTCCACCTGGACCTGGGGCTCCCCGGGCGCGCTGGATGCTGGCGGCGCGAACAGCGGGGCACGGGGCGAGGGTGGGCTGGCCCTCCAAGAGGGCAACGATCGCTACCCGGGATGAAGGGGGGGGGGGGCTTCGGGCGAGAGGGTGTTGGCAACGGCGGCATGGCAGGGTGCGCCCGGCCACCAGCGCATGGCAGGGTGCGCCCGCGCCACCGGCGGATGGCACCACAGCACGTGTGGGGGGGGTCCAGGCCCCCCCCCCCCCAGCAAGATCGTGAGCGTTGCCCGGCGGATGGGGGGGGAGGGGGGGTTGGCCCGGGGAGCGAGCGTGTACCCGGCGGAGGAAGCAAAAACGCTCCCACGGGCCCGCATGCACCTGCGGGGGCCTCCCGGGAGGGGCCGGGCCCCTCGAGCGCCCCGCAGGCGCCAGAACCTGCGCGAGACGACGCGGCGACCTCACGCGGCGGCTCACGGCGGGCCGCCAGCGTGGCACGCTACACTTTGAAAACCCCTTGCGCGGGCAGCCTGCGCGCGACAGTCGGACCCGTGCTTTTGCGCCCCCCCCTATAGGCCACGCGCTGCCCGCGAGGCAGGCGGAGGCCGCCCCGCCTCGACGTCTGCTCGGCGCCGCGTGTCTGCGCGGCACCATGGCGTGGAACGGGCAGCCTCTGCGGCGGCCGCCGTGCTGCCACGGGTGTCCCGCTGCCCGGGGTCGCTCGGCCGTCCGCACCAGGGCGCCCAGCTCCGCAGTGGAAAGACGTTCTGGCGTTCACCCCGGGCCTCCTGCTCCTCCTGCTCCTCCTGCTCCTCCTGCTCCTCCTCGTCCTCCTCTTCCTCATCTTCCTCCTCCTTCTCCTCCTCCTCCTCCTCCTCCTCCTCCTCCTCCTCCTCCTCCTCTTGCTCCTCCTGCTCCTCCTGCTCCTGCTCCTGCTCCTCCTCCTCCTCCTCCTCCTCCTGCTCCTGCTCCTCCTCCTCCTCCTCCTCCTCCTCCTCCTCGCTCTGGCCCCCCTCCAGCAGAACGGCCCCCCGTGAAAGCGACCCCGGGTCCAGATCCTGCGGGCGCAGGCCCGCACAACGCCCTCTCGAGCACCCACCGGGGGCGCTCCGCGGATCGACTTGGCGGGGTGGGGGGCTCTGTCGTTGGGTCGGGCATGATGTCCCCTCCACAGGAGGAATATTCACAGCTAGGACAAATCATATGGGGACGTTTTTTCTTGGGGGGGCTACGGTAGAGGGAAACAATTACTGAACACTCCCCCTCCCCCCCAAACTCAATGTTGGCACGCGCGGGGGAGACTGCGGTCGAAGTGCATCTCATCAGATTCACCGCCAACTTTGAACATTGGGGGGAGGGGGAGGCGTTGACCGTTGAATGTGGCATGTGTTCGCAAAATTGGTTCCGAGGCCTGTATTTTTCATTTTCTGAGTAGATTTTGGCTATGTTTAACTTTGCTCCCCAAATCCGCCTGTAGGAGGACATGCCCGACCTAACTCTATCAACCTCCCACTGGCGCGCCGCCAGGGGTGGCCGAGCGGAAGCGACGTCCACTCCGGCCCGCACCTTGCGTCTCCGAAGTAGCGCCGCTGGTACCTCTCGAGCGCGCCGTCCTCCGCCAGCGCGGCGGCCAGCCGAGCCGAGGCCTCTGAACCGGCGGCGCCGGCTTCAACGGCGGCTCGCAGGGCCGCGAGCTGAGCCAGCTTTGGCCGCGGGTCGGAGGAGCCGCTGGCGCCGCCCGCCTCCGCGGCCGCCCACGTGGGGCCCGCGCGGGTCACCCAGTTGGCGTGGTGCACCGCCAGCCTCTGCGGCGGCGGCCCGCTCAAGGCCTGCGAGGAGGCCCAGAAACGCGGCGGCAGCCGCCCCCACGGCATGCCCAAGGTGGAGGCGTACCCCGTGTAGAGCAGGTCGTTGACCACCCTCTGGTCAAGACCGCCGCGATCCTCCACCAGCTCGAGGACCCGCTGCCAGAACGCCAGGCTGGGGCCTGTGCGACGGACGGCCATGAAACCGATGTTGACGCCTACGTCGTGGCACTCGCGCTGGAAGCACGCGTCGAGCCCCGTCATCGCCTCCTGCACGTCCGGCAACACCGCGGTGAAGAACTGGACGTCCACGTCAGAGAATATCACGAACGACCCTGCCTCGGCCGCCTCGAGGGACTCCAACAGGTGCCTAAGCTTGAAAACGTAGACCGCTGGGCCACCGGCGGCGCGGTGGGGCTTGGCGCCGATGTCCTCCACATAGGCCTCGCGCATCTCGACGTCAGTGTCCCGCACGGAGGCCACGAACTGGTCGCGCAGGGGCCGGAAGGCCTCGTCCCAGCAGCAGCAGAGGCTCACGCGAGCCCGCCCGCGCACGCCGTCGCCGCGCGGCCGCGGCCGCGCAACCCGGCCGAGGCGGTGGAGGGGCGGCGCGGCGTGCCAGAGGGAGCGGCCCCACATGGCTGAGGCGCGGGCGCGCGGGTGTGGCTGGTGGGTTTGTTTTCCCGGAAAGAGGTCCTCCTCCTCCTCCTCCTCCTCCTCCTCCTCCTCCTCCACCACCTCCTTCCCCCTCCCAACTCATGGTGGCGGTGGTGGAAAACAAACCCATCAGTGACCATCTCGAGCGCCGCACTGGCGGCGGAGGAGGGCCTGAGCGCCTGGCGGCGGCTGCCGCCGCCGTCGTCGTGGTCTCCGCCGCCGCCGCCCTGGTCGTGGCGGATGTCCGCCGGCGTCGCCGTCGGTCGCCGCTGCCGCCGAACGCGGCCGCCGCGGGAGGCGACGAGGCAGAGGACAGCGAGAAGGGCAGGAACCGAACGGGGGGAGGGGGAAGAAAACCTGGGGGAATCGGGGCGCACAGGCAGCCAGCCCTAATAGGAGCGCCAAGCTGCCACCCAAGGTCTACAAGGAGCTGGACAAGGAGAGATCGCTAAACCGGCTCGAGGGGGAACGTGAGGGGTGGGGGGACAGCTCAGGCAAGGCAGCCTCGAGCTGGAATCGGCGATACGTCGCCGACAGATCGGCGATGGGCCCTCCGATAGCGGATCCGCATGCTCCTGGGCGGGTGGCGGGGGGGACCGGGCCCCCATTGGCGAGCCATGGACGATTGGGGGTCGATGCGGACCCCGCTGGGCACATCCCCCCCGCAAACGTTGCCCCTGATGGCTCCTGCGCACCATCGTGTCAGCCGCTCCGCGCCCCCCCTGCAGGGAACGCGGGCCGCCCATGGCGCTGGAAGGAGAGGAGGAGCGGAGGAGGGACGGGGAGGAGGGAGGGCGCGGAGGAGAGCGAGAGGAGGAGGAGGAAGGGGAGGAGGAGGAGGAGGAGGAGGAGAAGGAGGAGGAGGAGGAGGAGGAGGAGGAGGAGGAGGAGGAGGAGGAGGAGGATTGTGCTAGGATTGTGCTGCTTAGGACTTACGCAGATGGAAAGCACCACGCAAGCCGCCTCACGCCTTGCAAGCCGTACTTACATCGGCGTTCCTGGTGAATGGCCGCACTCCCATAACGAATCAGTCTACCCTTGGCCGTTCTCGTTCGGGATGGTGGATACCTCCTTCACAATACCGTCCACTTACACTGACCGTCAGAAAAGCTTGGCCTAAAACACGGCTGACACGCCTGACAGGTCCTTGCTGCCACTGCCTGTCTTCCCCTTCTCGCGCGAGTTGATGCCAGCGTTGTAGCTAAGATATTGGGCTCCAGCTACGCCCCCCACTTCTCGCGCGAAACTTGCCCGGAACTCTCGACTAAATTGGGCTCCAGCTTCACCCCCCGCTTCCCGCAATAGGCTTCTCACAGAGCTCCCGCCGATACTGGGCTCTAACTTCGCCCCCCACTTCTCGCAAGAGGTTGGCCCTGAGCTCGCGACACTAGTGGGCTCCAGCTTCGCCCCCCGCTTCTCGCTGATGACTCCGCTCCCACGTTCGCCCTTCTCGCAATGCCGGGTGAGAGCACTGCGCCCCTTCTCGCAGGAGCTGATACCAACATTGTAGCTGATGACCCCGCTCCCACGTTCGCCCTTCTCGCAATGCCGGGTGAGAGCACTGCGCCCCTTCTCGCATGAGCTGATACCAACACTGTAGCTGATGACCCTCTCCTGCGGATGCCTTGGTTCCGGTCTCACCTCCGTCTCGCGGAGCACAGCCAGAGCCTGATGCCACTGCTGGTCCTTGTCGCACGCGTCGATACCAACGCTGTAGTTAAGGACGTCTGGTTCCAGTCTCACCTCCGTCTCGCGGAGCACAGCCAGAGCCTGCTGCCACTTCCCGCCGTTCTCGCACGCGCCGATTGTAGCGCTGTAGTGAAAGACGTCGGGCACCAGCTTCACCTCCGCCTCACGGAGCCCAGCCAGAGCCTGCTGCCACTGCCCACCCTTCTCACGCGCGCTTCTTTCGGCTCTGTAGCTGAGGACGGCGGGCTGTATCCCTACTCTCTCCCGCTCGCGGAGTCGGGCCAGAGTCTGCTGCCACTTCTCGCACTTCTCGCACATGCTGATTCCAGCGTTGTGGCTGAGGAAGGCGTCGGGCCCCTGCGATTCTTGGGCTGTGCGCTGTAAGGCATCACCCCTGCTTGCCAAGAGGAAGAGGATGGGAAGGGGGAAACGGACGGGGAGAGGGCGAAAGGAAGGGGAGGCATCTTGGCGGCCCGGCATGCGCCTATTCGCGGCGCCGCCACTGCGGGCGACGGCGTTTATTGATGGCACCATGCTTCTTTACGGCTCCCCGAAGCGTCGCCGCTCCGAAGTTTGCGACGGGAACGCCCAGGCGGTCCACGCAGGGACGGGCCGCTCGGGCACGGAACGGCTGAGGAGGAGGAGGACGAGGAGGAGAAGGAGGAGGAGGAGGAGGACGAGGAGGAGGACGAGCAGGAGGAGCGGGAGGAGGAGGAGGACGATGAAGATGAGGATGAGGATGAGGATGAGGATAAGGATAAGGATAAGGATAAGGATAAGGATAAGGATGAGGATGAGGATGAGGATGAGGATGAGGATGAGGATGAGGATGAGGATGAGGATGAGGATGAGGATGAGGATGAGGATGAGAGGATGATGGATGATGAGATGAGGATGAGGATGAGGATGATGATGATGATGATGATGATGATGATGATGATGATGATGATGATGATGATGATGATGATGATGATGATGATGATGATGAGGAGGAGAGGAGGAGGAGGAGGAGGAGGAGGAGGAGGAGGAGGAGGAGGAGGACGAGGAGGAAGAGGAGGAGAAGGAGGAGCAGGAGGAGGAGGAACAAGAGGAGGAGGAGGAGGAGGACGAGGAGGAGGAGGAGGAAAATGAGGAGGAGGATTAGGAGGAGCAGGAGGAGCAGGAGGATGAGCAGGAGGAGGGCGACGATGATGATGATGCTGCTGCTGATGTTGTTGATGATGGTGATGCTGATTCTGATGATGCTGCTGATGATGATGAGGATGATGAGGATGAGGATGAGGGCGACGATGAGGAGGGGGATGAGGAAGAGGAGCAGGAGGAGGGAGATAAGGAGAAGGACGAGCAGGAGGAGCGGGAGGAGGAGGAGGACGATGAGGATGAGGATGAGGATGAGGATGAGGATGATGATGAGGAGGAGGAGGAGGAGGAGGAGGAAGACGAGGAGAGAGAGGGAGGGAGAGGGAGCGATAGACATGGGAGGTGGAGCGGCAGCGACCAGTCCTGCGGCGGCTTCTAGGGGGCCGCGGGGGGGCCGCACACGAGCGCACGAGACGCTGCCGTTGCAGCGCGTTCGGCGATCGGGGGGCCCCAAATGGGCCCGCACCAAAGGTCGCTCCGGCGAAGCAGATCCTCCCGGTGCTGCCCCCCACGCCCCACCTGCGGCTCCTCGGGCGTCTTCTCCTCCTGCGCGGCAGCGCTCTCGGCCGCGGGGGCCGCCTGTCTGGGAGGGGGGGGGGGCCCGTGCGGGGGCACAGGGGCGGGCGGCCGGGGCCCAAGGCGAAGCCAGGACCAGGACAGGTCGGAGCAGGATTGATCCACGGGCGCCTAATTGGCGTCGCGCGGCGCGAAGCGCGAATCACGTCGCGCTCTCTCGAGGAGGAATCGGAGCCGCACCGCGAACAAGGGCGCCTAACTTCGCGCTGCGCGAAGCGCGAACCACTTCGCTCTCTTGCGCCGCCCCCCCCCAGGGAAGAGAAGGAGGACGAAGAGGAATCGGGGCCGAACCGCGAAGCGCGCACCACTTCGGGCCCTCGAGGGCGCCCTTGATTAATCGAGGATCTCTGAGATCCAGCGGTCCTGTAAGATGCGTATCGGGCGCCGCGGCCGTTCCCCATCGCTCCGGAACGCCCTGGAACGATTTATGCTCCGGTCCAGGCTGCCCGGTTCTCGCGTGGGGTCCCGAAACGGTGCGGTGACAGCCCGCCGGGTGGTCTCGAAAGCCCGAAAGACGTCACCGCGCAAGGTCCGCCACTGGGCCCGCTGTGGGACCTCCTGGATGCCCCAGACGCCCGAGCCGTCCTCGGCGGACGACCAACAAGTCCCAGAATAGTGCGGCAAGGCCCCACGGACTCGCCACGTGAACGCTTCTTCTTTGAAAGAACAGAAAATCCATCCTCATAATAATCACCCGGACATGCGAAGCCGTTTAATTAACGCACCCAAGGAAGGAATCGAACACGCTGGTGCCCTTCGTTCTCCTTGGTCAGGTGCAGTGTGGCCTCGCGACCGTCTTGTGCGCGCTGGCTACCGTATCTCACCTGCTTGCTGAAGGTGTGCAGCAGGCAAGGCCACAGTTGGGCACGAGTGTTACGAGCGCCCTGGCTTCTACAACGACGTGCCTGATGATCCTGATCTCATGTGAAACCCAGAGCTCGAGTATGTTCGCTCTTATCTCACGAGTAAGGGTCAGTCAGGAGCAGGGCAGCAGGATTATGACTATTTCGAGACCTCCGTGGATATGCCCCTGAGCCCCCTTGTACCTCCTTATGTAGTTGACATGCTGGACTTGGAGTTCTGGGATGACTGGAGTTCGGACTCGTGTTCCTGGAGTAGTGTGTGTTATACTGATGGATCTGGCATGGCCCCAAGCTGGCCAGAACTACGTCGTTGTGGGTGGTCTGTGGTTCAGTTGGGTGACACTGGAATGCCCGTTAGAGCCATGTATGGGCCCCTTTGGGGGCCGATTCAGACTGTGGGTAGCACTGAGAAGTTTGCGGTTCTACAAGCCCTCCGACATCTGCCAAGACTTACCTTGGTTGTTTCTGATTTGTTGGGCCTCGTGCGAGAGGCAAGCAGCAGGTCACACGAACTGGCTGATTCACAAACGGCCTATGCAAATATCTGGCGCTCCATCCCGGCAATGCTCCCTGGTGGAGAGGGTCACCCGAAGTTCCTATGGTGCCCTGCCCATGTCACGGACTCGGACTACGTCGACGCTGAGGCAGGCAAAATGGCACCATGGGAGTTTGTCATGGGCAACCGATGGGCTGACTACTTTGCCAAGCAAGGTGCACTTGTCCATGCCCAGCCTGACGATA